TATTAAATAATAAACTAGATGTTTAATAAGATCGTGCCCTAACAGAAGTTATAGAGAGTTTAAACGTCATCTTTATTTATACATCACTTTGAAGGAACACAATTCAAACGTCAACTTGGGTTTAACGTCCTACTGTTCTGTCCCTACTGAGTATATGCCATACAGTTTACCCGATGAGTAAGACATTGGCTCGCTAACTTGCATGTCACGTGTTCGACCCCGGTGTTGGCCAAGAAAGTTTATCGGGATCTTATGGCGTGCTTTCCCCTTGTCAGATGGGCAAGGCAGAGGACAGGGCTAGGGGTAACATATAATCGTTCGAATGGAACGAAAAATATAGCTGTGCGTATGCCTATCTTCATTAGTCCAGTCGGAGCAGATCAGTAGGGTGTTAAATAAAATTCCATTTCCAATACACCCATCATAAAGGAGCTAATATCTGGGACCTAGAAATTTACATTCAATTGTTTCCATTTTGACTCTAATTTTAAATCAGTTAGGTCCAGCTAAATACGGCATGAGTCTCAACCGTATAGAAATTTCTAGCGTCTGGTTTATTTTCCAGTCTATTGCGCATGCTCTCCAGATAAGTTATGGCGTTGCCGTATGACATGAGTTGTGGAATATGGTCAAATGTTTATTTTGTCTTAAATATTGGATATGAGAAGCCGACCTTTTCCCGGTAAGATAACAACATCAATGTTGATGTGAATTAACAAATAATTCGTGTTTTCAACGTGTAAGACTTTGGTTTATATTGAGTTAGAGACTTAGCTACTTTAAGCCTACCAACGAATCCTTACTTTATTAACAGCAGCTCACAGTGAAGACGTAAACCTGTTTTAATTCTAATTATTGAGTTCACAACTAATCTTATGAAGTATTAGTGAAGCTTTTTTTTTTTTTTTAAATCAACATGATTTCAAATCAATTCAACTGGGTTATACGTGACCTGTCAGCGCGCAAGATGGAGAAATGAAACATCAAGAATGAATGAATTAATGGAATTTGTACTGACTGTTAACTTAAAAACTGTAATACTAATAATATAAAAATATATTATCAAGTCTTATTTTGATGCAACAAATATACTATTCAAAAAAAGTAGGGGATATTTGATTTTTAAGTGTTATTAAAGTCACCTAATGAAACTGACGAAGAAACAAATGACAAAAGTTCACATTCATCGATTTATTCCAAATGATCGTTAGACTAAGTAAGGCACAGACTGACCATTATAAGGGTAAAATGATACCCGGGGTCAAACAGCAAAGTTACCACAGCATCACAACCAAGTCAGTAACGGGTAAATCCTCCTCTGTTTGCCAAACAAGCATTGATCCGACGTGGCATACTCCTAATGAGACGTCTAAGGTCATTTTGGTCCAGATTGTCCCATTCCTGTTGCAACGCAGCAGCAAGTTCTTGGACATTGGCAGGACGTTGTTGACGTTGGCGTAACCTCTGTCCAAGCATGTCCCAGACATGCTCGATGGGGGAGAGGTCGGGACTCAGTGCTGGCCAAGGTAATGTGGTGATGTTCTGTTGTTGGAGGTAACCTGTAACGATCCTGGCCCTGTGACATCTTGCGTTGTCATCCTGGAAGATGAAACGGCGGCCATGACGTCGTGCGAACGGCACAACATGGACTGCCAAGATGTTGTCCCGGTAGTACTGGCCTGTAACACGCCCTGCAACAACATGTAAAGCCGTTCTTCCAGCATGATGCCTCCCCACACCATAACAGAACCACCCCCAAATCGATCATGTCTGATGACGTTAACGTCTTGGAAGCGCTCGTTTCGACGACGCCACACCCTCCTACGTCTGTCCAAAAAATCAACAGTGAACCTTGACTCATCTGAAAACATCACATTGCTCCAGCGTCGATTATCCCAGTGTTGACGATCCCTACACCAACGACGTCTTGCCTGAATGTGATGATCTCTCAAACAAGGGATCACGCGAGGACGTCGGGCGCGAAGGTGACCCCTATGCAGTCGATTCCGAATCGTCTGGCCACTCACTCTCACACCAGTGTCTGTTTGAAGACGAGCGCTGATCTGATTTGCTGTGATGACACGATTTCTCAAGGCCAAGGTACGGATAAATCGATCCTGGGCTTGAGTTGTCGCCCTTGGTCGACCTGAGCGTGGTCTGTCCTGTACAGATTGTGTATCACGGTATCTGGACCATAGCCTGCTTATGACAGACTGAGAAACATTCATCGTCCGCGCCACAACCGCCTGTGTTGTGCCGATCTGTAGCATGCCAAGGGCACGTAACCTTTCATTTTGGGTAAGCCGACGCATATCAAAATTTGTTTTCTGGTCACTAAAACAATTAAACTGATGTTTCCACCCTGGAATTCAATGCCACAATGGCTGTAACATTCAAAGTCAGAGTCGTGCAAATCTTGGGTTGGACCCCCATGATGATCCCAAGCATCACCTGCATTCCATGCGGTAGCTATTGGTGCGTTTGGGCGTCACATGTAACTGGAAATGTTTCTTCTGTTAGGTTCTATAGTGACTTTTTTCGTAGTCATTTGCATATTTTAGTATTATGCCCCCAAAATCAAATATCCCCTACTTTTTTTGAATAGTATAATTTTCTTTTTATTCGACCGTAACGGATCGAGATAAATAGGTTCAACCATTTTACAGAAGAGCTGATATGCTTTTAATGCAAACTTGTTTACCTCGATGAGAGAAATCTCAATCACGGCATGTGATCGGGCAGACCGTTCAAACAATTGGTCGGAAATATTTAAAGATCCAGACGACGTAAACTCAGTTAAATGATTGGCAATATTACACCGTGAGATAGTTAACGGTGAGGCTAATATCTGCTTCAGGACAGCTAAATTTCTATTTGTGACTTCTGATTCGTAACACGCATCGTCGATAATGCGCGAATTATCAATAAATAAATCTGTGTTCACCGTATTTACAGGAACACCGTGAAGGGTCAATAACAATTCATCTTTGATGAAACTGACACACAGCTTAATTAGTCCTACTATGAACAAATTCATCTCTTCTCGAAATAACCGGCTATCCAAATTTACTGGTCCAGTCAAATCAAACACAGGAACTTCGAACCATTTATCTATGGTAGATCTTTTAAACTCCATACACTTAAGTCTAAGAGGCTTTTCTTTTTGTTGCTCAAAGAAACTATCGGAAATTGAATATTCCCCAGCGGTAAACTGCGTTACAACTAAAGTTGATAGACCGCGAAATAGAAGTCCCGTTTGACTATTTGATATCGAGCGCAACCAGTTCAACTGCATTTTCAAACGCATGAAACTCGGGAACCTCTTTAATTTTTGACAGTTTCTCCTTTAACGCTCGACTGCGATGCTCAGAAAGTTTTGTCATCTTTCTTCCGGTATTTATTAACACAGTCGATACTTGTTGACTTTGAGCTTTAAAATTAAACTGACTTATAGAATCTGAACGATCACTGTGGATAGGCGCCGATGGAAATCCGCAAGTTACGTCAATTTTCGCGGAATCGATTGAGTCGATTCTTGGAATGACACCGGTTGCTTCGGTATCCTGGAACTTTTGATCACCCCTGCAGGTGGTGATATTTGTTACATCACCGTATAAATCGGTGTTAGTGAAACCGTTCGATGCCTTGGCGGTTTCAAAACTGGCGATCGTCCCGCGTCTATCCGACCCGTTCGTAGTCGAAGTTTCATCCCCGGACATCCCGACAGCTGAATCACTGAACAAACTTGGGACACAAGGCTTGCCTGCTTGATCGAGTTCAAGTTTTAATTCGTCTATTGCAGCCCATTCATGGACAACTTGTGGGTCGCACTTTAAATTCTCCGAAATAAGCTTGGAGACTGGAGATTCTGCACTGGGCATAATTGCACGTGACCGATTAGTTCTTTCTGGGGAATTACAAATGTCGGTTAACTGACGGCACTGATCAGTTAATTTGTCAATTTTATTGATGATGTCAGTACACGTACGATCCATCCTGTCCCAGCACTGCTCTATTGTGGACGAAGTCATTTTTTGTGATTCGGGAGTTTCGGCTCGGATTTCGGTTGCTGCCAGTACATTATCATTAGGCCTACAACTAATTCTTTGGACCAGTGATGATCGATTGTGAAATGGTTTTGCGGCCCGAGACATTTCCGCACGACTAAAACATTTCTCAAGTTTTGTCATAAGTTCAAAGCATGTCAAATTACCATTCCGTGAAAGGACTATTCTATGAACATCGACCGCATATCCCTTTAAACAAAAGAACAACTGTTCTCTATATACATTCCTGGTCGGACCATACTGTGCTATGGCAAACCTGATAAATTTATTGGCAAAACTAGGCCAGTTGGAATAGCCATCAAATAACAATGACTCTGGAATATTATAACACCGTTGAGATCGGTTGAATGGACTATTACCCGTATAAAACTGACGGGATATGGAATTGCCACCCGTGGACGACGGTGGAATATGTCGCCCATCTAGCCATGATGATCTCATTTCATCACTATATCCTTACAATTAAGAGGAAACATAGCGAGATAATAGTAAACAAAGTGTCGCTTCAATAAACATGTGCAGGCATGCATAAGAGCTGCACGTGCAACTCGCAGTCAATAAAGTTTCAAACTATTTAGTAATCTATTCTATTAGTATTAGTAGATGTTTTCAGATGAAAAGCAATATAATATTATATCCTTCTCCCCTTGTTAAATATACAGTACCAAGTCCCACTTGGCGTTCTAAACATAACAAGTTACCTATTTGAAGTCTAAACATAATCTGAGCCGCTGCTGTTGTTGTTGTTGTTAGTGTTTAACGTCCGCTTCCACCGAAGGTGTTATCGCAGACAAGTTGTCTTTTTTTATTTTCATTATCTTAGCGCACGCGCAGGGGTCTTTCCTGTGGGAGGAAACCGGAGTACCCGGAGTAAACCCACGAGGTTGAGAATGCGCCCCCTATCTCCAAGCCACATACGCCCACACCAGGGATCTAAACCACAACCGCAAGCCACTCTAGACCACTAGGCCATCCCAACCCCCCCTACGGCAAAACAGCAATATATAGGTTAAATCCCGCTGGTTGCACGGGACTCCGTGGATAGGTGGAAGTAGTCCCGGTTATCCTGACGGACACCTGTATTATACAGGGCAAAATCACAACATCTCCATGCCATTGAGATGTAACGTCGATATGAGGTTGGAGCTGTGGCCCATCAAACCTCGATTATTAACACAAATTGGATTTTGGATTTCCTTGATTTCCTCCATCGTCCACACATTGGGTTGTGTGACGAATGCATGGTTTATAAACGACGAAATTCGCTTTAAAGGAGGAATATGGACATATTGTTTTGATGATATTTGTGGCTACTATCCAAACAAATCAATGAGTAAGTTGATATAATTCAGCAAAGGGGTGTAAAAAGTAGAATGACAGAATCCCAATCCGACTCTAATCCTAGCAACGCCACTAGATAATCACATTCAGAAAAGTCACCAGTTTTCTTCTACTTTACGATCAAGTAGCAGTGTATGTTTTTTTTAATTAATGTAGGCCTATAGATTAATACATTAATTTTATAAACATTACTCGCCATACTAAGAAATTTCAGTGCTCAACCCCCACATCCACAAACGCTGCACAGTTTCTCAAATCTACTCTGCTGTTCTTCTGTACTTACACAATACTAATAGAAATGAAATGGGATTTAACCTACTTTTTTGTACCGACTTGGCTAATGAAGATGGGGAATGTGCCATACAATGTGCTATGAGGGCAAAATTTGGCGCTATAATCTTCTCTTATTTCAAATTCAGACTGTACACATGCCAATGGATTTCATCCCATCAAAGACTAGACGCTGTTCTTGCCAGCCCTGCATGGAAAATCATGACAGAAAATTTTAAGGAACTTTCTCGACCAACACCAGGAGCAAACCCAGGAGCTTCTTACTCATTGAGCCACCATAGCTCCCTCTTACAGAGGGATCAGTTAGAAATTTTATGTGTTACACTATAGGTTATTATTCAAGGGAGTGGGAGACTGGACCAAGAGTGGACCAATATTCAATCTAAGAAACAACACTGAACAAAAAGCATCTTTTAAATTGTTTATGTAAACCAAACAGAAATAAATTACATATTTTACAACACATTTTGCATTCGATCTCTATTGGATATAATAAGTTACTCTAAGTCTCGAACAGTGTGAAAACACACTCAGCATGTAGCCCAGTCATAGCAAAATAAGTCAGCTTGATTAAATGTAGTACTGTGTTGTGAAATAGAAAGATCAATATTTGTATTACAATGACTAGCCCTCTTTGATTTGGGTCAATAAGAACATTTTCAAATTGAATAGTTTTATCAATAACACTGTATGACTGCCTCCCACAGGCAGCTGTCAATCATAATCATTGTCATCTGTATCAGTGATTGTAGAGGCCTAGCGAATCTTCACTGCTGAACAGTGTGGATTTTATATGTTGATTTTTTTTGTGGGATGACAATCTGTCCTGAATATTTGAGATATTATTGATTTTGTGTTCCACTATTATTAAGAAGTCATAGATTAACGAAAAGATAAAATCAGTAAATAGGCTGATTCCCCATAATCTTTTAAGAACATATATTTGTGCTATCACAATAAGTGAGAGAGAGAAACAGGATTTAACGTCCACTCAACACAAACTAAGTCATTTCGGGACTAACATATGGTTAATTCTTTTTCAATATTTCACTTGCACGTTGGGGTCTTTAGTGGGAGGAATCTGCAGTACCTGGAGAAAAACCATGAGGTTTGACAGCCGACCCTACTCCTTGTCACGTACAATGCATTAATATCTAATAATATGTATGCATGTAACAACAAGGAAAAATGTGAAAACAGTGTTTCTACGGCAACATGATGATATCATAATTTTAATTTCTATGGAAAGCTAAACAGGAAAGCCAGGTAGCCCAATGTAGATATTTAATTTGCAATTTTCTATTTTCAGAAGCTGAATTTAAAGCGACAAGGATATTAGAATGTCTTGGTATAATGTTTGGAACAGGTTCTACCGTTCTATTATTTCTTTACACATGTCTACAACAATCAACAATAGTAGAAGCGATAGCAGCCTTTCATGCTTTAGTAGCAAGTAAGTAAATTTTCTCCCCCTCCCCTTTAAAAATAGCATAAATTCAAAGGGGGACTATTCCATAGGTTGGTACCAGCTTTAAATTGCAGACTTTCAATAAAGGAGATCAGAAGATATCTGAGAATTCTGCTAGTTCAGTTAAACAATTCAAATTAAACATACGTTATGTTTTGGTCCTGAAATGTTATATAAACTATTAATAAGACATTTTTTAACATGAAAAGACCATAATCAACTCTCGATGCCACCTTATGTGTCAGAGTTTCACTGGATTTGAATCTGATTTGCTCAATGCTCATTGATGATTTAATCCAAAAATGCATAATCAAGACTACTGGTATGTTTTTTATCGTACCGCTTTTAGTAATAAAGTCTAATATCTTGGTTCAGAGTGGAGCTATTTGACTGAAATTTTCAGCATATTCCCTTTAGATTATCTAGTTTTTAACTATTATAGTGAGAACTGCAAGCTCTTTATCTAATCTTCTAAAATGCCCCTTTAAATCAATTGTTAAACAATTCCAATTAACTCAGTTGTTTTTGGACTACAAAAGGGGAATAATATAACACACAGGTGGACATAGGGAGTTTTGGGTGACCGAATGGTTATCGCATGCACGCTCGATCAGAAGGTTTGACGTTGAGTCAAGTGGTGTGGTTTCGATTCCTTGCTTGTATGTGACGAGGAGTAGGGTTGCTGGTCCAACTGCATGGGTTTTCTCCGGGTCCTCCCACTGCTAAACACTCCTACGCTTTAATTTATAGTCATTTTGCCAAGTGGGATTGTACAAGGTGTAAAATAAATGAAACCCCTAAAACATCAGTTACTGTAAACATATTCAGTACATCCATTCATAGATTCTTGAAATGGACATTTTATTTTAAAGATGCATTATGTAAGATTTAGATAAAGGTCTGATAATTCTTGCTATATTAATTCAAAAATAGATGATGAAAAATTAATTCTGAGCGAGGTGTCAAGATGTAGGGTAGATTGTGTATTATCCAATTTATCATTGAATTTTTAAATCTCTCAGGCATTCTAATTCATGTAAATCACTGCGATCTGATGGTTTACAGAGTTGAATATAGGCCTGCCATATGATTAAATGTCTAAATAATACTTTATATAATACCTCATGGGTTTTCTCCGGGTCCTCCAGTTTCCTCCCACTGCTAAAGACCCCTACCCGCAAGCGAATTATTGAAATAAAATTAAACCATATGTTAGTGCCAAAATGACCTAGTTTGTATCGAGTAGCGGTTAAACCCCATTTCTCTCTCTTTCTCTCTCTTACTTTATATAATATTTGAAGCCAAACTGACCTACAGTAGGAAGATATTGTTTACAATACAGAATGCATCTTTAATAATTGCATTGATTTGAATATATTAAGAAGACAAGGGTTGAAGTCTGTAGGTTTTGAACTCTATATTATGGCTATATGCAATTTATTCGCACTTCTGTTGCTTGGATCACTAATCAGAACTGGGACCATTGTTGATCGAGAAAATACCTCAGGGTTTACCAGTGTGGCTCGAACAGTGTCTAGTCGTTAGGATGGTACGAAAAAGCAAGGCCTTGTTTACGGTACACGTTGGAATTCGAAATAAAAGTACTGGTAGACATTTCTGCTGCAGTTCAAGTTAAATTTGCCTCATACATAGCACACTTCATGGCAAATGCCCTTCTTCTTGAACCTAGTTGGTGCAGATACATGTAAGTCAGACGTCATTTATTGTTTTAAAATGTACATGTTTTTGTATAATTTCAGGTATATTAATTCCGATTGGTGTAAAGTTATATATAGATGATAAATCACCCAATGGGGAGTTAGGTTACTCGGTAGCAGTAACAAGTGTCGGAGGAAAACTATATATGATAACTTTTCTCTGTTTATTATGTGATATGTATTGGAAGTCATCTTGGAGAAAAACGAACCGTTTTTGTAAAAGAATGTCAAAATGGACGCAAACATTTATAAAACGTATATCACATTAATGAACCAACCAGCAAGTGGCCTATAACAACAAATTTTCCTGTGATAAATCTATTGAGTTGCCTTACGAGCTGAGTAACCACCAGTATATGAATTTGTCTGGTCAAACCACGGTTTATTCATTACTTAAATGTTCATGCTTCAAAAACTCATAATATAGGGAGGTATCATTGCCATCATCTAAAATAAGGAGATGACAATGGGAGAATTGGGAGGTTCAGTATGGGGGAACAGACTTTTTTGTGTTTGTTATGTAAATCAGTTAATAGTGAGAACTGCCAGCCTTTATCTAATCTCCCATAATGTATCTTTAATGATGTATGCATGAGCATAAATCGTGTAAAAAGATTGTTGCGAGTATGGTCAAATAGACAACGGTCATTGAAAAAAATGGTTTAATAAGGAATATTCTTATGCAATCCATTTTCTTATTGCAAAAGCTTTTGACTGTCATCATGTTTTCCTGTGATCATAGCTATAAGAAAGTAAAATCCTATGTGGATCAATTGACTACTGAAACATATCAAATTCTAACTGCCAAGAGGTCTTCATTTACGTACATGCCAATGTGTGCACTGGACCTTGGGTTTTAGTCCCATCCGAACCAGTATACGTTGTCCCTTGCCAGGCCCTCTGTCCTGCAGCACTGATACAGGGGAACCTGGCCACCGGAAAATCACCAGGTTAGGATCAGTCTTCATAGCATTTTGTCATATCATATTTGAAGTATGCGTGTATAATTGACTTGTGTTTGAGAAAAACGTGTGTATATAGTTTAGTTTGAAGAACCCCATACTTTTTTTTTTTCATGGATTGGGATAACTCTTGTTATTTGTTGAGGTTTTTTTATTTTACTTATTTTTACATTTAAAAAATTTCTAATTTAAAAAAGGGAGATAACTGTTGGGTTATTGGATGGTGAGTAGGGCAAGCAATTGATTTGGTTTAATTAATCAAAGTAGGCTGTCGACATAAAAGAATCAATTTATTTTATTATATAATTTTCCCATTATTTAGTCGAAAAAAAGCTTGAAATAGTCAGCATCACTTTAGAGATAAAAAAAGATGCATAGTTATCATCTTATAGTGCCTTTATTACAGCAGTTAAACTGGGCATGTTCAAATGAGACTGTGTGTAGTCTTCCTAAATTATTGCTGAAGTACAGCCCTTTCATATTATTATTTACTAGTATATGTACTCGTAGGTCTACATATCTCGATGGGAGCTGTGGTGGCTCAGTGAGTAAGACATTGGCTGAACTTCGTTCGCTAACCCGAAGGTCCTGTGTTCAATCCCAGTCTTGGCCTAGAAGGTTCATCACTTGTCAAGAATGCAGGCCAGAGATCCTGATAAGGGATAATGTATAGTTGTTTGGATTGAAAGAAAAACAGAATTGAGAATAGTGTAGATTGTAGCGCCACTACCCGGGCTTAAACCTCATTTCATTTACATATCTCAGTGTACCTCCTGTACCACATGATTTGATCTTAATGTGTTTATGAACATCACTATATTTATTTATTTTTTGATTGAGTGCTAATGCTTGTTTAATAATATTTGATTGAATATTTAGTAAATTTTTAATAAATATTGATTGTGGTTGGGATACTTCATGGGCTTCCTTGTTCATATCAAAGTTATCCATCATAAACCTGAAGTTGGTTTAAACAAACCTTATACAAGAGCTAAATCTGCCTATTGCAAGTCTTTATTTAGGCTTCAGATGTTATAGAAATTATTAATTAGACCTTTATTTACACGACAAGCTCAAAATCAACTCTGTAGACCCACGGATGGCATGGATACAGTTTGGATTTAAACAGTCGTCCATTTAAAATTAAATCAATACATGGTGGACCAAGCTAACATTTACCGTTAGTCGCTGATGTCACTACCGAAAACTGATGATGAAAGGCCTGCCAAGCGAGGCTACCATAGCCATCGATCATGTTACTTGATAATCGAGAATATGTGGGTGGAGTTATCGTCTGTCACTTAAACGATCGCCAATTCTCATAGACGGGCAGACATAATTGATGCCTATTTCTAGTCCAAACTTCACACCGTGACAATTCCGTTCAGAACAAAGTTATTTTTTAATTACATGTATACCAAGAATGTCCAACTCTTTATAAAACTCTTAACTAATTTATCTTTAAACAATATTTTTGCAATGTTTACACTTCTGTAACACTGTTCTAGTATGTACAATATGAAAACAAGAATAAATATCACTCATAAATATCACTAAGGTTAAAGATGCATTATCTAATATTTAGATAAAGAGTGGACCTTTCTTGCTATGATAGTTCAAAAATAGTTTATAATGAAAAATGAATATTGGGAATTTCATTCAAATTACTTTATTCTGAGCGAAGTTATGGCTGTTTGTAGAAAGGTATCAATAGTACTTGACAATGATTCATCTTATCGTTAAATGTTTAAAGTAGCTAAGTCTCTAACTCAGTATCATCCTAATTCTTTGACATTGAAAACACGATTTTTTTGTCAATTTAAATCAACATTTATGTTGTTATCTTACCAGGTAAAGATGGGCTTCTTATATCTAATATTTAAGACAAAATAAACATTTTGCCATTGGTACACAAATCGTGTACCATCATGCGTTTCAGCGCCGTTTGTAACAAGGGACTCTAAGAACGAGACTAGACATATTCCGCAAGTCGTGTCAAACGGTGATGTCATATTCTTATCTCGAGAGCATGCGCAATAAATACTATCAGTGTAGACTGTAATAACCAGACGCTAGAGATGACCATTCGATTGAGACTTCTGGCGTATTTCGCCGAACAGAAACAATTTAAAATTAGAGTAAAAACGGAAGCGATTGAATGTAAATCAGTTTATATACATTCATATTACATTATTATATGCATTGCACCCATTTGTGTCAATTTCTAAGTCCCGAAAATTAGCGATTTAGCTCCTTTAAATCTTGGTCATCTGATGGTACAGCAAATTCATTATAGGTTTGTCGTGTGAATAATATCTAAATAATAGTTTTTATAGGATCTGAAGCCAAAATAAAGGACGATATTGTTGTCAGTCATTATCACATTGATAGAACTGGTTTAACACGTTCTAAATATAATTTTAACACAGAGATCATTAATGCTGCGATAGATGCGTAGTGAAGGTTTCTACAAAAGGAAAACACAAGTTATCCTTCTATATGTTTAAAAATATATTTGGAATGTGTTTAACCAGTTCTATCACATATGTGACAATGAGTGACACCAATATTGTCCTTTAAAGATCTGCAATAGGCAGAATTAGATCTTGCATAATAATGCACCTTCAATGCTGGATTGGGATTCTGAGGTTATGGGATTATAAATTCAAATGAGTGACACCAATATTGTCCTTTAAAGACCTGCAATAGGCAGAATTAGCTCTTGCATAATAATGCATCTTCAATGCTGGATAGGGATTATGAGGTTATGGGATTATAAATTCAGAGTCACAAATTATTGTAAATTATAATAATCGATTTTATGCTAATATTGATTTTAAATAGTTATGTTTATTTTATACAGTATATTTTGTTAAATATTTATAAATAAAACAGTGGTGTTAAGCAAATCAGGTTTTATATATTTGTTTTAAAAGAGAGATATTCAGAAGTTCTCTATGATCATTATTTTTTGTTTAGGGAGAAGCTGTCAAGACTGATGACCCTGGTTATGTACATGCCTGTGTATCCAACATGTACTCGGAATAATATGCTCCCTTTTCGAACTCAGTCACATTCTACCCCAATGTGTGACAGACAGACGGGCAACCCAATTTCTCCGTATTTTATATTTCTGACCCACAGACAGTATTTCATACAATTGGTCGTCACAACATCTAGCCATGTCGTATGCCAGGTCCCACTTTTTAATACCCCATGACACAAACCCAAGGGTGTTTTGGAGGGTAGGCCAGGTCTATGTAGTTATTTTTTTGACACAAATGATAATAGTATTCCATTGGAGAGACTTCAGAAAAGGTTCGGTATCAAAGGCTTGGCTTTACAGTGGATTGAATCTTACTAGCATAATAGAACCCAGAGTGTTGTAGTAAAAAGTCACAAATCAGTATCCGCCCCTTTTCAGTTCCGTGCACCACAGTGTATTGTTCACTCTTTACTGTACTATTTTTGTATTTTATGTTATACGCTGATGATACTCAGTTGTATTTTACATGTAAGAATGCGGTCGTTTCTAAGGTTGCAATTGAAAAATGAAACGTGTTGATGATATTCGTGCATGAATGCAGTATTCGCAACATTTTAGACCACACCTCGCTCTTGTTCACGCTTTCATCACCCCACGTCTTCATTATTGTAAGGGAGGGGGGGTGGCTGGCCGAATGGTTAGCATGTGCGTGCTGTATCATAAAGCCTGTCATTGAGTCAACTGGCATGGTTTCGAATCCCCAGTTGTACGTGACAAGGAGTAGGATCGCCTGTCCAATCTCGTGGGTTTTCTCCGGGTCCTCCGGTTTCCTCCCACTGCTAAAGACCCCTACGCGCAAGCGAATTATTGAAATAAAATTAACAACCATATGTTAGTCCCGAAATGACCTTGTTTGTGTCGAGTGGACGTTAAACCCCATTCCTCTCTCTCTCTCTCTCTCTCTCATTATTGTAAAAATCTTCTGCATGATCTCTATCCTAGATCTCTAACTAAACGTCTCCAATCTATTCAAAACTCTGCTGCGACTGATAACGCGCAATTTTAAGAATGAGCACACCACTCCAATTCTTCACGATCTCCCCAGACAACCACTCAGCTTTGGCCCAAGTATGGTCCACATCTGGCAGCATCTGGCTGGATGTGGCCCATATTTGGCAACTATTGGCTCACTACTGATGAATTAAACTTATTTTTGTAACTGGTATCTAAGAAAATCTTGTCAGTTTGTTTAACACTTTTAAATTTTTTGTTTTATATTCAAAACATTTGAAAAAATAATATTATGCGAAAAGTTTGCCATATCTGGGCCAGAGATGGCCCACATCCGACTGGCCAAATGCCTCAAAATATCAACACAATAAATTTCGGCTCAGAATATGACATCTAGTTTCCAGTAGAATTTTCCCTTGTTCTATATTAGTTTTATTACAAATAAATATTAAAGTCTTAAAATAATATTTTTTTAATGTAGCGGTACTGTATATAATATAAATGGAATCCTCTCACCCCACCCTCCCCCAAAAGCCAGTAAATGTAAATCTTTAAAGCAAAAATAATAAATTATTCTTGAAAGAAGTCAATGAAATAAAGACAAAGTTTATTTGAACACAGCCTGAGTGTTGGGTATCATGCTACAAAGTAGTTAGATTTTAATTACTATAGCAGATTCTGTACTCAGATTATACAATTTGTTGAAGCTAGCAGGTCAACCATGTAAATCTTTCAACAAAGCATAATGAACAGCCCATTTACTATCTTGAAATCTGTTTGGTCATTGGCTGAATTTAAAATTGTAAAATTCAGTGTAAAACAACTTAATAGAATTTAGTACTAACAAGAAACTGAAGACATTGCAGTGGTACAAAACTGTGCATTATTTTCACAGATCTTAGTTAAAGATAAAAAGATAAGTACATTTTATTACTTTCTCTACAATAATATTAAATTAGATAGATTTATGTGATTTCATTATATATAACTTCATTTAACTGTGCTGTGTTATATGGATGAATAAATTTATTATTTAAGATTTTGCTTTTGTTGTTAATGTTGTGCTGCATGCAAGATATCCTTAATTTCTACTATCATTTTGGGACTAACATATGGTTCAACCCTATTTCAATATAGTTCCCAGAGATAACCGACGAAGTTGGACAGGCTACCCTACTCCTTCAGTCCTTGTCACATGCAAGCAGGGATTCGCAACCACGCCACTTGACTGGAGGACCGACCTTTTAATTTCACGAGCAAGTGTTAAACCACTAGACCATGGCCATGCCCCTCGGTTTACGAAGGTGGAATAGGACAGGGAATAACGGGTTGCCCTATTTGGCCCACATCTGGCATGGTATGAATTTCATCTGTGGGCCACATGTGGGCCACATTTGGGCCAGTTATGGCCCAGACAAGGGCCAATTGTGCCATCTCTGGCCCACACGTGGCATGCCATATCTTTGCCAAAGCCTGCCAGCTGTGTGCCAGATCTAGGCCATGCAAGGTGAGCGTGTGCATTAGCGAATCTGGGCCAGATCTGGCTCTGATTGGGCCACGTCTGGCCCATGTCTGCCAGATCTGGCCCACATGTGGCATGCCATATCCGGCCCAATCATTTTACCACATGTTGCCAGATCTGGGCCAAATATGGTGTGCTGTCTGGGTCCACTGGTTACCTGTTCACGGGCGCACTGAATTCAAAAGCCCCACTTTCACTTATAAATATATCAATCAGCTAGCACCACCCTGTCTTTTTGATCATCTGTTTTGGGGTGTTTGTGAAAAAATCGAGAGTGAGAAGAGAAAGCGGAGTAAGTTCCACAGAGGCGAATCCGCTCTTCAGCTGAGATTCTTATTGCTGAGCTAGCGCAACCCTTTCTCCACGTGCCACACGGCAAGTGTACCTTCGTTAATGCTGCCCCTTGACTGTGGAACTCTTCCCCTCTTTCTATTCACAATGCTTCCTCCTACAAATCCTTCAAAAAACACCACAAAACACAACTTCATGATTCACTATTACTGCTGTTGCTTAAAGATACATTATAGGAGATTCGATAACGAGTTGGCAGTTCTCACTATAATAGTTAAAAACTAGATAATGTAAAGGCAATTTGCTGAAAATTTCATTCAAATTGATCCACTATGAACCGAGAACTAAGCGATTGAAATTTCCGCCTAGCCTCGATCATCATTACTAAAGTCAGTACGATAAACAGCATAGTCTCGATTATCCGTTAAATCGTGAATGAAAATTATGCAGTAAATCGGCTCATAATCCACGAAAGGTCACAGGCTAGCGATGCCATCTAGAGTTGATTATGGTCTGGATAGGTTAATTAATGTCTAATTAATAATTTAGATAACATTTCAGGTCTAAAGAAAGACCTGAAATAAACAGATTCAGCTCTTGCATAATGTATGTTTAAGAGTTGTTTTTGTTATGTTATTAAATGTTTTTGTACTACGCATTGAGATTGTTTTTATGAGGTAATACGTAAAATTTATTATTACCTGATATATTTTATTGCACACGTCCTTCTGGCGACAACGATTCCATGGTACCAGGGAGAGGCTGGGAACCTGAAAATATTTCCTGAAAACGTTTTATCCGAATCGGAATAACATTAGAGGTCATTACTGCTGATTGAATTTTGAGATCACTGAATTTCGGTATCTTTAACGCTATCTCGTTTATCACCGGTTACCATTTTAAGATTGTCTAAGCTAATTTGGTGGTAACAAAAGCTACAGGGATGTACAGTTTATATGGCTATGCAAATATTCAATTTACCACAAAAACATGGATAATACAGTATCTTAAGAATTGTCAAACTAATCAAGTAAATTGACATCGCTATTACCTGAAAAACAACCAGCCAACGCAGTGGCAAATGTAAAGATAAATATGCAATGAACACGATTACCGTCTCTTTCATTCTTCTATTACCTTGATACTTGTGCTGCATGTGTAATACAAAATAAAAACATAGACGGCATAAACAGATAGTCATAGACACCACAGAGTGACTCAAACTAAATAAAGAAATGAGAGAGAGAGAGATGGGGTTTAACGTCCACTCGACGCAAACTAAGTCATTTCGGGACTAACATATGGTATAATTTTATTTCAATAATTCGCTTGCGCATAGGGGTCTTTAGCAGTGGGAGGAAACCGGAGGACCCGGAGAAAACCCACGAGGTTGGACAGGCGACCCTACTCCTTGTCACGTACAACCGGGGATTCGAAACCCCGCCAGTCGCCTCAATGACTGGCGTGCTATGAACTTACCGATAGAGGGGGGGGGGTAACGTCCACTCGACAAAAACTAGGTCATTTCGGGACTAACATATGGTTTAATTTTTTATTTCAATAATTCGCTGGCGCGTAGGGGTCTTTAGCAGTGGGAAGAAACCGGAGAACTCGGAGAAAACCCCCGAGGTTGGACAGGCGACCCTACTCCTTGTCACGTAACCATTCGGCCACCCCCCCCCCCCCCCCCCCACATTCCGGAATTAGACCACTGGGGAAACCAAGATTGTGTACGAGGACGATAGTCAGTCATCTTAACAGGAAATAGTTTACCGTCTATTCAAACTATGAATACAGGCGAAACACGCCATTGATATATACCTATTGAAAGGGGTTTATAAGGAGAGGGCTAGAAATAGTTAGTATACCTAGATATTGGGAGTACTTGCATTACCCCCTGACTGGCAATCTACACTAAAATATTCAAATTCATTCGGCAAAGGTCAGTTTGTGGACAAACCTTTTTCAAGTCTTCTAAAACAGCCAGTGTTGGGGTGACGATGATTCCTATATTCTACACTGAACAAACGCTTAATTAATTACCTTCCAATTTAGTATCCCAGATCTTTCGACTTCAAAATGATGTCATTTTTTGAAGTATCAACCAACAGGTGGCAGGTTTATATACACGTCCAAACCTTATTGCATCTAATTCAAGTAATACATTGGAAACGGAGCATGTTGCTACTTGAACAAGCGTTTAACTAACCTTGGTGGTTATTGGAGTACCCTATGACAACATAATACCGTGAAATGTAACGCCGTACGAAAATTAAATAGTGGCTAGCTCAGTTGTTCAGACTGCCGTGACGCCATTTTTCATACCATAAACCTGAGCCATAATAAAACATAAAGGCTACTGTTTGTATATTGATTATTTCCCGCAAATAAAAACTACCAATATTGTTGCCATTTAAGCTTGTTCGTGACCAGGTATAGGGTCGTCGCTCAACTTCGTTGGTTTTCTCCAGGGCCTCCAGTTCCCCCCCCCCACACACACACACACTACTACAGACAGGTACGCGCAAGCGAATTTTTGAAAATAAATTGAAATTTGTTAGTCCTGAAATGGTCTAGTTTGTGTCGAGTGGACGGATGTTAGACCCCCTGACCATACTATCGTCGACAAATAAAATCTTTGTTATGCTCGATCCGTAAACCAGATGCGGATATTCCGGAATAGATAATGCGTTTTGGACAATTTTGCCTGGACAGAGGCATTTCCGTTTACATTTTCCCGATTTCTAACTGTCAAGGCAAATATGTACACGGGTTGATCATACGAAAGACTAGAAACGGTCACAGCTGGTGATCGACCATTCTTACGCTAGTATATCCTATAAAGACAAACAGTGGTGAAACTTTGAGAGGACGCCAGTTCGAAGCTGAATATGCAACCGGTTAACTTCGATATCGAAAAAAACCCGCGAAAACAAGGAAAATGAAAACAGCTATTATGCATTATTTAGTTTGACCAGTTTTGTTAATATATTTCGATCGATATTTTATTCGAACGACTATGCTTTGTCCCTTGCCGGGCCCTCCGTCCTGAACCTCTGACAAGGGGGACCTGTTTTATTAAATCCCCGGTTGTACGTGACAAGGAGTAGGGTCGGCTGACCAACCTCGTGGGTTTTCTCCGGGTCCTCCGGTTACCTCCCACTGCTAAAGACCCCTACGCGCAAGCGAATTATTGAAATAAAATTAAACCATATGTTAGTCCTGAAATGACCTAGATTGTGTCGAGTGGACGTTAAACCCCATTTCTCTCTCTCTCTCTATTTATTTGTACAGTCTAAGCCTAGTTTTGTCACGGTCATCTGTACACAGCTCACCAATGATTCACGAAACACGGGCCAAAGCGATTTTTAGTCTTTCCCCCGCGATTTTTAGTCTTTCCCCTAAAAACCGAAGTCCCGTGTACACATTGGCGTGCACGTAAACGATAACTTGACAGTTGAAATTCGATATACACTGTATGGCGTATGCCCGTCTTCATTAGCCCAGTCGAAGCAGAACAGTAGGACGTTAAACACCCATTTCATTTCCATTAGCCCGGTTGGGTAGAACAGTAGGGCGTTAAACACAATTTCATTTCATTTGCCCAGTTTCCCCTTGTCAGTGGCGAATACGGAAAAGAACAGTTGGGATTTGAAATAAGAGTAGGCCAGAGCGTCATTGTCCGGGAAAAATTTTCAGCATAGCACACTGTATGGCGTATGCCCGTCTTCATTTGGAGCATAAGAATAGAACGTTAAAGGACAATACTAGTGTCAGTCATTATAAAATATGTGATAGAACTGGTTAAATACATCCCAAATATAACTTTAACACAGAGATCATTGCTACGGGAGATGTGCAACAAGCACGTGAAGAAACGGGAAGTGATGACAAACACGAGTTATCCTACTATATAACTGATTGAAGCAACGAGCGATAACAGACACGCGATCGAATTTCATTTCACTGATAATTCAGTTGAAGATGAAAAGCTATTATATGAGACGGTGAGAGGATATCTGACAATTCAAAAAAAGAATTGGCTGTCATTAGATAAAAGATAACGAACAAATTAGAAAAAGTCCGTGCATTACCATGTTTTTATTAAGAACAGAATGAATAAAAACAGGGGAATGCACGGGATTTTTCTATTTTTCTCGTTTATCCTTATCTAGTGACAGCCAATTCTATTTTTGAATTGTGAGATACCCTCTCACCGTCCCATATAATAACTTTTCAACTTCAACGGAATTATCAGTGAAATGAAATTAGATCGATGGTCTGTTATCGCTCGTTACATCTTCACGTGCTTGTTACACATCTCCCGTAGCAATGATCTCTGTGTTAAAATTATATACTATTCAAAAAAAGTAGGGGATATTTGATTTTGGGGGCATAATACTAAAATATGCAAATGACTACGAAAAAAGTCACTATAGAACCTAACAGAAGAAACATTTCCAGTTACATGTGACGCCCAAACGCACCAATAGCTACCGCATGGAATGCAGGTGATGCTTGGGATCATCATGGGGGTCCAACCCAAGATTTGCACGACTCTGACTTTGAATGTTACAGTCATTGTGGCATTGAATTCCAGGGTGGAAACTTTAGTTTAATTGTTTTAGTGACCAGAAAACAAATTTTGATATGCGTTGGCTTACCCAAAATGAAAGGTTACGTGCCCTTGGCATGCTACAGATCGGCACAACACAGGCGGTTGTGGCGCGGACGATGAATGTTTCTCAGTCTGTCATAAGCAGGCTATGGTCCAGATACCGTGATACACAATCTGTACAGGACAGACCACGCTCAGGTCGACCAAGGGCGACAACTCAAGCCCAGGATCGATTTATCCGTACCTTGGCCTTGAGAAATCGTGTCATCACAGCAAATCAGATCAGCGCTCGTCTTCAAACAGACACTGGTGTGAGAGTGAGTGGCCAGACGATTCGGAATCGACTGCATAGGGGTCACCTTCGCGCCCGACGTCCTCGCGTGATCCCTTGTTTGAGAGATCATCACATTCAGGCAAGACGTCGTTGGTGTAGGGATCGTCAACACTGGGATAATCGACGCTGGAGCAATGTGATGTTTTCAGATGAGTCAAGGTTCACTGTTGATTTTTTGGACAGACGTAGGAGGGTGTGGCGTCGTCGAAACGAGCGCTTCCAAGACGTTAACGTCATCAGACATGATCGATTTGGGGGTGGTTCTGTTATGGTGTGGGGTGGCATCACTGTTGCTGGAAGAACGGCTTTACATGTTGTTGCAGGGCGTGTTACAGGCCAGTACTACCGGGACAACATCTTGGCAGTCCATGTTGTGCCGTTCGCACGACGTCATGGCCGCCGTTTCATCTTCCAGGATGACAACGCAAGATGTCACAGGGCCAGGATCGTTACAGGGTTACCTCCAACAACAGAATATTACCGACCTCTCCCCCATCGAGCATGTCTGGGACAGAGGTTACGTCAACGTCAACAACGTCCTGCCAATGTCCAAGAACTTGCTGCTGCGTTGCAACAGGAATGGGACAATCTGGACCAAAATGACCTTAGACGTCTCATTAGGAGTATGCCACGTCGGATCAATGCTTGTTTGGCAAACAGAGGAGGATTTACCCGTTACTGACTTGGTTGTGATGCTGTGGTAACTTTGCTGTTTGACCCCGGGTATCATTTTACCCTTATAATGGTCAGTCTGTGTCTTACTTAGTCTAACGATCATTTGGAATAAATCGATGAATGTGAACTTCATTTCATTTTGTCATTTGTTTCTTCGTCAGTTTCATTAGGTGACTTTAATAACACTTAAAAATCAAATATCCCCTACTTTTTTTGAATAGTATATTTGGAATGTATTTAACCAGTTCTATCACATATGTAATTATGACTAACACCAATATTGTCCTTTAAACCCAATTTGAATTCATTTCTATAACGTCTTTTGATCGCCAGTGAAATTGTACACACCTTCAATATATTTCACAATACGATTAGATCCGGCATAAAGAGTGTTTTGTAACGATTGCTTAAAATAGTAACAGTGAGGTGCCTATGTTGTAATTTGACATAAAAGTTTATGCTTGTACGCTGCATATCACGTCGTGTACATTGCCCACAAGGCAGTAGTAAAATAACAAGTTGAGTTTAAAGGGGTATGTATAGAGGGGAAGTTGAATGAATTCAAGAATTTTGGGACGGAGTTACCAAATGAAAAGGGTTCGATTGTTCTCTTTTTCCCTTATCTTTGACGGATGTGGATACAAAAATGCCATTTTTTTTTAAAGTTTGGTTTTCGCCCTTGGAATTTATTTTAATACAATACCAAAAATATTAACTTAAACACCAAATTCCAAACCGGTGCGCCCGGTCATAACTTTATGTAATATAGGGGCCTACCAAAAAGGGAATGTTTTGATTATCATATTTTGCATTGTGAGATGTAGTAAAAGACGACTGGAATTTGATTAGAATAAGCTTAAGCTCCGCATCAGATTCGGCGTAACTTGTAGATTTTTCTAATAGAGACACCAATGTTTCTGAAATGGATGAACACATGAACTTTTATGTTTCATCCAACATGCATAATTATTTCACATGTAATATGCATAATTATGTCACATGCAATTACATATCTTAAAAAGGGAAATTCAAAGCAACGTATCGACGTTGATATACCGACTCTTTAAATCCAAACACTCCTTTTAAATATCCGGTTTACTTGGTTGTTAATCTTATTTGTAAGTTGGTCTAAATATCAAGATGAGATTCGTGGATATGATCAAGATGAGATTCGTGAATACGTCTCTTTATATGAGATTTGCTGTAATTTTTTCCGCTTTGGCATTTATATTCCATGTGATAGGAACCGCTGCAAATACCTGGATTACTATAGATTCTCTTTCATTCAAAAGTGGGCTGTGGACTCACAGTGGGCCTTCGTTCGATGCTAAAAAGGGTGAGTTCTCGTTTTATATGTAATGGGGGTTTCTAATATCCATGTCTACTCTGCCCTTACATGTAGTTCGAATCGCTGGCCGGTTGGAAAGGGGAAGACTGTGTTAAATTTTCTGAACGTGGGAATAGGTTGGGTAACTCATGGCTCTTGTATTTCCAATTGAAAGTCCCATGTGAATTATTGTAAGGGATTGGGTGGCATTAGTGTATGTTATCGTCGAAACGACGTAATTGTGTTTATAGTGTTGTCTAGATCCCTTATTGTACCATTCACCCCACCCACAAACAAATCCTTCTGTTTGATGAAAATGAAGATGATCAAAATCCCCGGTATTATAAAGCATGGTCTTATATATGACGCTGTAAAAAATGGGCAAAGCGTCAGAAACGATCCACAGAGAGAAACCCCGCCTTTTTAAAAATAATTTAAACCCGGTTTACGCGCCCCAATTGTCGGTGTAACATAATCGACTCAGTACCGGTTACAAAGAGAGGTAGTAGAAATGGGGTTTAACGTTCACTCGACACAAGCTAAGTTATTTCGGGACTAACATATGGTTTAATTTTATTTCAATGATTTGCTTATGCGTAGGGGACTTTAGCAGTGAGAGAAAACAGGAGGATCCGGAGAAAACCCACGAGGTTAGACAGGCGACCCTACTCCTCGTCACTATCAAGCGGGGATTCGAAGTACCAATACAACAGTACAACATCCCTTTGCTAGCTACGTCAGCTCTTCAAATAATGAGCTTTATGAAGCTTCAACTAGCATCTGGGCAGCTTTATGAAGCTTCAACTAGCATCTGGGCAGCTTTATGAAGCTTCATCTAGCATCTGGGCAGCTTTATGAAGCTTTAACTAGCATCTGGACAGCTTTTGAAGCTATTAGTAACTGCTGTGTTTTAGGCGTAACGTGTGTGTTTACTTGCTGTTGCTTCGATAAATGAAAACCGCTGATCCAAACCAAACTTGCAAACAGAACCTCTGTTTAATCTTTTGATTTTGATACAACTAATTCAACACTGGTATGGCCTAAAACCAGGAGATTTACCCCGTTTCCTTGGTTGGGGGCGGGGAATCGTTAGCACGTGCGCGCTGTATCATAAGGTCTGTCATTGAGTTAACTTGCGGGGTTTCGATTCCCCAGTTGTACGTCACAAGGAGTAGGGTCGCCTGTCCAGCCTCGTGGGGTTTTCTCCGGGTCCTCCGGTTTCCTTCCACTATTAAAGACCTCTACGCACAAGCGAATTATTGAAATAAAATTGAACCATGTGTTAGTCCCGAAATATCTAGTTTGTGTCGAGTGGACGTTAAACACACACTCTCTCTCTCTCTCTCTCTCTCTCACTTGTCGTTTCATGCAGTTTGTCTGGTATTCATTTTCAGAGGGTGATATATATCGAGCTCCTCGAGGTGTGGCTGTTTGCGGCATAGTATTGGGATTTGTTGCTACGCTTTTCATTTCAATTGCTGTCACCACTTTCAACCAAAAAGTTTTGAGAAGAGTGTCAATCATGGCAAGTTTTTCAGCGGGTAGGTTTTTTTATTTATATAATATGGTTTATTTTCATTTTCAAGGTCGGAGACCCAAGGAACACACATACAATGTACAAAATTGTCATAAAGCTGTCTTATAGTTATCAAGTACAGTGATTTCCTACATTAATATGCCATTCTTGGGTACAGCAGTCATCTACTCGCTGTTTCCAAAAACTGACTTATCCAAACATACTCGAAGCCATATTGAAATAATAGATTCTTAACACTTATAGCCCAATTTAACACCTACCACTTTTATCAAGCCGTTGTAACATTGTATTAACACCTTTTTGCTAACCTGCAGTCATCCATGTCTAATAAACGAATCCAATATTTAATACATTTAATAGATTTAATAGTATATGTACATAATAGTGATTTTCTTCCATATTCACTGCCGTAAGTACCCCATTGACAGTGGTTCAATCTGCCCCATCACAGTTTCATGATCAGAATTTTTAAAAAATTCAATATGCCCTCGATCGATGGATCAAGCCCCTGTTTATCTGGATTGTAGTTTAGACATATAATGAACTGATTTTAAGTACAAGAATTCCTAGACTAAACAGTTAACATGTATGGAAAATGATAAGTGGAAGTAGTGCATTTTCATTTTTAAGACCTCTTTTGAAAAAATCATTGCCTAAGAAATAATTGACAGCATGTTGCTACTGCTTATTGACGGGGAAATAGGTCTAAGAAGTTATCTCACTTCTGTGTAGTCTTGGATTGCCTAGTATTAGTTATAAAGGATATATCCATGGTGGTTCAATGTACCCATATGTTCAATGTGCCCCGGTCTCCCTACTCCATTTAACTGGAAAGACGCCAAGATCGAATATTTTATTAAAGATTATACTAAGAAAAGGGTCAAGTATTAATCGGTCTTCTTCGATCAATTCTATGCATATATTCCATCAATGCCAGAAGATTGTCCGCTTTACATATCTGAAAAAAAACCAAACATTTATTTCACTTATTGGGAAATTAAATTCTTCAGGCACAGGTGAGTCATAGTTGTCGCATTGCATATCATGGGTCGAAACCATTATTTGAAATGTCTTGATTTTCGGGGTCAGAGTCGCTATAGAAAAGTAATTCTAACCAATGGTATGCTTTAATATTTGGGGGATTTGGATGTTTATTAACAGCATTTTAAATTTCTCTCCAATACTTGATGTGATCAAACTTTGTAGGGGGGGGGGGGGGGTGTTACACTTTATGCCAGGTTCTTCTTTAAACATAATTTATGTACAAAACTTAAGACTCTGTAATTGGCTTGTGTTGAGGGAGCCATGGTCCCAGCTCGACTTGACACCCTTGGGTGCCAACCCTCGACTAACTTACATGGCAGCTGCCTAGTCTTAACCAAAGCCCTGTATAGGGAAAATTACGACTACTCATATACAGGCGCCATTTTGGGTCCCAACTATGACGCCATAAAAACTATAACGTCATGGCGTCATAATAGCTTTACTTAACAAAATGTTTTATTTTTTTCTTGGTTTAACGTTTTATGGGCTACAATTTATCCTAAACAAATTGCAAAAGAAACCAATGCAGTTTGGTTCAATGAGTAACATAATTCAATTTAGCGTTCTTCAGGAATTATCGGAAAATGATATCTCGTAATGAGTGTGAGAGGATAAATAAATTTTTTTTCAAACTCCTCAAACACAGAGTGGTTATGCAAGCGAAATGTGTCGAAAAATCTAATTTGACAAACATCAATTAAAAATATGTATGTGTCACTTGATGACGGGAATTTCTTTCCAAATTTGGTAAAAAAAAAACAACCCAAAAACAACAGCATTAATTTGGTAACAAAATTGAAGCGATAATCTCAAAAAAATAATTTCGAGAATTCTGGATGGTAGAAATTGAAAATGGCCGGCAAAATAAAATTCCAAAATGGTGGAATTTTAATGAATCGCCATTTCTTTCCGTTGGGTATGATTTGTAATATGTGGTATATTAATCCCGAAATGGCATAGTTGCTCTTAAATGAATATATTGTTAACGCGCTTTAAACATCTAGATGCAATAGACTTGGTGTAGAACAATCTAGCAGAAATATTGGCAGTAAAGATAATATCATAGTTTTTAGTTACACATTGTTAAAGGGACAATAACACTCTTGCTGGCTTGAAAGCTCCAGAAAATAAATAATATCTCTATCTAAGTACTAGATGTTTAATTGTCCTACCTGTTGTGTAAATTATCCATTACATCCTATTTTACTTGTCCAGAGGGTTCGAAAATATTTTTAAATCGAAGTTTCATTTGAAAAGGTTAACGTTAGACGTTTCAAACCATTATGTTGAATTTTTCAAAATTTTTAAATAAGGTGTGTTAAGATGAAATTTGTATCATCAATTAATTGAAATATTCTAAAATAGTACAATTTGTTGACCAGAATAAAGATTGGGACATATTATTCAGTTACAACAAGAGTGGTATTGAGCCTTTAACCAACCACCCACAGACATTTTTAATGACAATAAATCATCGACTTTATTTAGCTCGACGCAATACTTAAAATGAATTGTAGATATTATATATCTGTGTTGCATATATTTCTGGTGAATCATATCATAAAAGTATCTTATTTCAGAGTTTTATGTATTTGTCGACAGTTTCACTTGACTAAACAAAACATTGTGTAGGAATGTAAGCATTTATAGATCGAACAAGAGGCTGATTAATGTTGAGATGGGTGGAACATGCTAGAGGCGATTTGTAACAAATATATGTTTGATACTAGTTGAGCATCAGACCAACATGGTTATTTCATTGGAAATGGGGCGCAAATACCCAAAGGAGCCTCCCTCACTTGGCCCCTTCAATGTCTGTCTATCCGTGGAATAACATGTACACTATTTGTATCTGTTCAATTTGTGCGGTTTATATATTAGATTAATATTATTATTTACACATGGGCGGGGAGTGATAATGTCTTACCCCAAACACAAAAGAAATTACAAAAGAAACCAGGAAGTTTCGGAGAGCGATATCTCGTATGACATGTCACTGATGAAAGATATGCCCGACAACCCGACACCACGACATTATAACCCGACAACCCGACATCACGACATTTTTAACCCGACACTACGACATTTTCACCCGACACCACGACATTAAGAATGTCGTAATGTCGCGTAAAAATGTCGTGATGGAATGCAACCAAGGAGTTTGCCCCGATCACATTTGTTCCGAATGCTGATTTTATCAAACACAACAAACATTTATTTCCGGTCTGGTTCATATTTTTACTTCCGGAAAAAAGGTAAGCAACTATTTTTACTGATATCGCCCCAGAAATATAACTGTAAATTTCGTTTTTAAGGTACACTCATATTACTCAGTGGACAGGCCATGTTATCCAGTTTTGATAAATGGTACCCGACCTTTGAAATAAAAAGTGGCTATTCGTTGGGCTTGTCGGTAACTGGTGGTGTTTTCTACATTGTAAGCGGTGTACTCATATTGGTGGATATGACTCTGCAAACGTCATCTGAAAATGACAAGCTACAGACAACTTCATCTGCAACTGGTTTGGGGCAGACACGATACATTAACCATGCGGAACAAGGAACTTCATCTACAGCTGATGTGGGGCAGACACGATACATTAACCATGCGGAACAAGGAACTTCATACGCAACTAATATGTAAAGGCAACTTCATCTGTAAATTATTTTTTTAAACAATATTTTATAACCTAATAAAGCAATGATTTTTTTACACACTATGTATATAGAGAGATACAATAATAATCTTTGCTGCTTATGTAAAATAGTTTCCATAAAATTATATGTAAAGGCAACTTGACCTGCAAATTTTATGTAAAAACCAAGTTCATCTGCAAATGACGAACAAAAACAAGCTCCGTAATAAATATTAGAGATGTTTTTTTTTTAAATTTCGGCATTTGATAATACATATTTGTTTTCGATTATACAGATTTGAACCTTTAAATATTTTTGTGTTTGCTTTTTTTCTAGAAACGTGTAGCAAGTTCATTAAATTGAAATTTCCAAAATAATTAATTGTTTGTATTGTCGATCACAACAGTGGGCGTAAATATTAAAATGTAAATAATCAACAAAGTTTTTTATGGCTAATTTTTTTGTGGTTTGTTTGTTTTGTGCCCATTAAACATGATTAAATAAAATGGCATGTTGTTATTCCAACTTCAAACAGCAATAATCCGATATATGGCCGTTTACGTGTGACACACTCAAAAACAGTTTTCTTGTGTTCGATTACAGTTAGGAAGATGGCACTGTGACGTTAAAACCCATTTTACCCCATTTCTCTCTAAATTTCAGCACTCCAGCCAACCATCAACCAGACGAAGACCGAGTCGTTTATGTGTGGTTTAATGGTCGAGAGCGAGACATTAAGTAATATATTGTAACAACATGAGGGCCGTGAGGCCCGAATGTTTTTACAATATATTACGCAATGTCTTAAGCTCGAGACCATTAAACAACTTAAAATACAGACACTTGCACGTGCTTTGCAATGAAATACGTCACTCGAGTTCAATATTTTACCAAGTTACGCTTGGCATATTGCCCGTACGATTATTTGAAATAATGGTACTCCAACATCAAAGGATGACGTCACATCTGTTTTTTAAATCAACATAATGCCCCGACCAGGTGCGCAATCACCAAATGAGCACGCAGTGGCGACACCAAACGACTTTATTATGATGTTTGCTAGGCAGAAATGTAAAAATTCTAAATTCGTTAATGTTCATGCTAAACGTAAAGCACCAATGAAGAAGAGGTTTTATACATTGTCCTAATTTAAAAGTTACATGAATAGAAGTTAGAAATTATATGAATAGAGGTTAGAAATTACATGAACAGAAGTTAGAAATTAGACGATAGCACGTTCTTGTTCTTAGTGTTTAACGTCCACTTCCACCGAAGGTGATATCGCAGACAATTTTTTTTCATTAAATTAGCGCACGCGCAGGGGTCTTTCCTGTGGGAGGAAACCGGAGTACCCGGAGTAAACCCACGAGGTTGAGAAGGCGCCCCTATCTCCAAGCCACATACGCTCACACCAGGGATCGAAACCACAGCCACAAGCCAGACGTGACCGGCCAGCTAGAGGTCGAAGCGTGACACTCTAGACCACCAGGCCATCCCAACCCCCTAGCACGTTAGACTTGTGAGTCTTAATATATCGCCATTAACAGATACATGGTCATGATGTGTCTTACGGTCAGTGATAGTTACATACATGCCGCGTCTAATAGTCTAAAGGCCCATTTATACTGTGATCGCATACGTGTTCGCTTTTATTATAAATGCACCTTGAAAGAATAAGATGTCATGTATTTTACAGTTATACTCACTGTTTAATAACACGATAATAATTTCAATTTTATTGCCAACCCTTTCACAATATTTGAAAGAAAAATTTCTCCTGTTTTCTGTTCATTTTCTAATTCAATAAAACATAGCTCCGGAACGAAATTTGAAAAGGAGAGTCCATTAAAAATTGTATCGTATTCATAAGCCAATTGTTGATGGACGGTCGGACCTGTGGATAGTGTGATGGTATAGTACCCCTACACTAAAATTTGTGTGTTGACAAATCTCACGTGGCATTGACAAAACTGGTATTGACCGCCAATGAATTGATGCAAAACACCAAACGCAGGCACGGTTTTCAGTGGTTCGAATGGACGAAATACTGAGGTCCCGCTGTCCATCTACAGGAAAGTGGGACGTTAAACCCCATTTATCCCATGCGAAAAACGACCAGCAGATTGATGAATGATTTGGATAATTTTCTCGCATGTTGGTTGGATTTTAATTATGGATGGAAAATTAATTGAAACTTAAAAGTGGGGTGGAAACCAAAAAGAAGCGAAAAATAATTCTCTGTGTGTTGAAACAAGATGGAACATCTTGTTTTTATAAGAATGTAAAATGACCATCACTGTGTTTGATTTAGGACTCCCCGGGTTGCTTTATCCATCTCTTTATATATAGGGGGGTGGATGGCTGAATGGTTAGCGTGCGCGCTGTATCATAAAGTCTGTCATTGAGTCGACTGGCGTGGTTTCGAATCCCCGGTTGTACGTGACAAGGAGTAGGGTCGCCTGTCTAACCTCGTGGGTTTTCTCCGGGTCCTCCGGTTTCTTCACACTGCTAAAGACCCCTACGCGAAAGCGAATTATTGAAATAAATTTAAAAACCATATGTTAGTCCCGAAATGACCTAGTTTGTGTCGAGTGGACGTTAAACCCCATTTTCCTCTCTCTCTCTCTTTATATATATATTTTATCCCATCAACATCAATAACTTTGGAGTTTGGATACAATTACATTGGACAATAATTATTGAAAACTTACAAATGTCGCTGCTTGAATGTCGTTGCTGTTTAAAGACGATACGTCATATAAATTGAAGGAAAGGATAGTAAAATCACAAAAATCCCCACCCCTACTGTATGCGCCCTTCGTCAATGTCTTTCTCCTTGTAGACCCCCAAACCTGGATTCGCTACACTAGGGTATCAAATTTACATTCATCGGTACAAATACACTTTGCGTAATGTATGCGTTTATAAATTTCCGGTAGCATATGAAGATTCCAGGGGAAGGACGATCTAAGTCACATTTTTGTCTTTTCGCATAACAAGCAAAACAGACTTTTGAACGGAAATGTTTGACGCGAACAAAATAACGAGTGGGTTTAATTACAACTTCAAAATGATGTTTATCAGACACAAAATATCAGCTTTTTAAAACTTATTGTATGCCTTTATATGGTAGTTTATTGTGGGACTCAGAGCACAAGTCTATTGACAACTTTTACTGTACCTGGCGTAAATGTATTCGTCGACTACTTTATCTGCCTTATCGCACTCATAATAACTACCTCATTTATGTCAAGATCGTCCTGTTGAAAATCAGCTGCACTCAAGATTTGTGAAATTAACAATAAGAACCTTCGCATCAGGACTTGTAGTAAACATGCTTTTTTATGGAAGTGGTTCTAATATTTGTAATAATATAAATTATATTTGTTTTAAGTACGGTATTTCCAGATTTAACTTTTTATAGTGCAAAAACACAATTTGCTCTAATATTGACAATGATATTGTGAATCTTCAAAAGTCAGCAACTGTGAGAGATATGATATGTTTTTTAGAATCAAACAACAAAGATATAAACCGTGAACATATACGTAAAATAATTCACCACCTATGTACTGATTGAATCGTTACATTATTGCGGTTGAATAATATTGTTTTATATCTTTTGTAATTTATGTATGTATTTATAATTTAACTGTACATGAGTACAAATAAAAATATATTATTATTATTAATACGAATCATAATTACTAGTACAACTGATTTCAACTTTTCAGTCAAATTAAGGTCAAATAAATATGATGGACTTGTATTTGTCCAAGAGGCCATTTCAGAAGGGCCTTGATTCGATGTGACTCCGATCGTTTTTACCTCAAATAGATTGTTCCACAGAAAGCTTATACAATTTGCTACCAGATGGCACCATTAACTGGGGTTCGTTGAAAAGTGACTTAGATCGTTCTTCCCCGGGGCTCTTCATATATGTATATTGTTTTACAACAGACGACAAATTGTAAATATCAAATTGATTTACATCAGTAACAAGAACATATATAATGTAAATATATAAGTGTAGCAGAAAGATGGACGGACATACTTGTTCACCTTTCCATTTCAAACCAAAAGAGACAACAGAAAACAGGAATACACCATTATACCGTTTATTTACAAAACACAGAAATAAAAAAATCCAAAACAAACCACACATATAACAATTTGGCTAAATACAACAAACAAACGAGCAACAAAAATATAACCCACAGCAGCATGTGTTACTATCCTGGTCAAGGCCTTTAAAAAGAGTGGTGTTACACTACGATGACGCTTATCTTGGTTACACAATGATCAATTAACTATGGAACACTGTGTTGTAATAACTATGTTTATATATCTTTATAACATCCATAATACAAAAGTTATATAAAGGAAACTACACGCATAGCTATGTAATTTAATATAAGCTTAATATAAGTTCCGGGTAACTTCGCGTGTGCTATGTGCAGGCGAGAGTTACACTCTTCTTTCAAAGTCTACATGGTGATCTCCCCTGGCCCGTAAGACGAGGAGGCTAAAGGTACGTCTCTCTAAGAACTCTGCATGATGTCTCTATCCCGGCCTCTAAATCGAGGCGGTTGAACGCCGCTCTAGGTAACCTGCATGGTGTCTGAATATACATTAGAGTCCTAAAAGTGGCAAGAGCCACACCCTTCATGATAAATTGTAATGATGATCTCAACCCAGCCCCGAGTCTGAGGCTGTGGGTATATCCTTCGAAGACGCATGATGTCTAAAGGTACCTTAGGTAAATCTACCTGATGTCTTAACCCAGCCCCGGGCCCGGGGCTGTGGGTACATTCTTTTCTAAGAACCCCGCATAATGTCTGAAGCAAATTTAATCGCGTTCTTCTTTAATTTATATAAAACGTTTAGATACGTCAGCTATTAGGGCGAACCATTACCATATTTGGGTAAGTGTTTCATTTGGGAACTCTTTTATGTCAAACTTAATTTATAAAATTGGACTATATAATATGTATTATACCAGATAATTAGAGATCCCTGACCTGATGTTCGCCATTAAGGTAATACAATGTCATTTTTAGCGAAACGAGACAACCATAACCCACTTCCAGAAATGGGTGGTGGCAGAACTGTCAGTGAGTCAGTCTAAGAAAGTAGAATCTTGCAAAGTACCTAATGAGCCCAAATCTTGTTATTACCCATCTGTAGGTAACCACGTCAATACATTAAGCAGACCACCTTTCATAGAACTAAAATAACCTCTATAGGCATATAGTATTACAAACAAACCAATAAAAATCGAAATATTGGGGTTTTTTTAATGTGAAATCGATTGCAGGGTAAGGAGAATGATAACCCGCTTCCCCATATAGTCAGATAACATATACCACCAGCTTCTGAATTTCAAGATCAAACTATAGTATAATTCACTTTCTAGGAAACCTGATACTACTCCTGGTGTATTAGGGATGTCGTGTAACTAATTATTTGTTATAGTTCTTTACAAGCAATGCAACAAGAGGGCCCAGTCTTGTCGAACTATATACCACTACCCTGTATGTAATTCATATATACAGTACGCCGGTTATCTGAAAAGAGTCCATATACAGAATATTTATCTGACATCTTAAAGCTTACATAGGTAGCCACGGTAACCTCTATGTAAATAATCAAACTGGAAGCAGTTTTATATAAGCATTAAGTTGCTTGTTACTGTATCCAACTTATTCATATTATTCCCTCTATGATTGTATATAAGAATTCTGAATAAATACTTTTTTTAAATCAAATAAAAATTGGTTAAAAGTAAACATTGGTGTTAGTAACCGAATGCGAAAACTTTGATTTCTTAACCTGAAGACGAGTGAAATAGAAGGCTGAAATAGAACACCGTACCTTTTGCAAAGACGACGCCCGAAGTCGCCAAAATGGAGCATCATATTTTTCGAACTTCAACAAAGTAATTCAATAAGTACACGCATTATCTTGCCGTGTCACGCTTGTTAATATTTATAGAAATTGATGGGGTGTTGCTCAATCTTTGAAATTTTCCTATAGCTATGTCATTGATCGTGGGTAGGCTACACTATTCAGTTTGGCGAGTTCCTGAGAATTACTTTACATATCACCATGGCATATTTACCCTTTCGTATTCTGGTTGCCTTTTTTGTGTCAAAAGTCGCGCTTATCTTCACAATTGCAGGCCTGGCCTCTAAAACCTGGCATAAGGGCGGGTTCAACGAAACGATATTTCATGTGGATGGAGATAATTATGATGGTTCAGGTACGTAATCAGTGTTTTTATATGTTTTTATAAATCTATAGCGGTAAATCTCTTTGATCTTTGGAGTATATCCTATGCCCGGAAGGAATACTTGCAGTCTGAATATATAAAGAAATTTCGGATTATTTTTCTGAAAGTTTTGCTTAAAACCCGTATCTGTTTATTCTTCCAGGGTAGGTTTTTTTCCATTTGAAAACATGATAAAAAGTTTTTCTTACTAGAATTCTACTATATTCTCAATTTAGGTACATGTAAACATAGACGGTTTTATAAGCAAGATAAATTCCTAGACTTCGGTTATGCTGGGGAAGAAAGACTTCAGAAAAAAAACAAACAAGAAAAACCGAGGCCGGTGTACACGGCACCTCGGTTTTTCGTCCCATCCGAACGACTAGACAGCTGTCCTTGCCAGGGCCTCCTTCCAGCACCACTGACAAGCTGAAACCATGTTGGAAAAATCCAGATGAACTTTCTGGGCCAATGCAGGGATCGAACACGCGACCTCCAGGCTAGCGAGCCAGCTTCTTACCCACTTAACCACCGTGGCTCCGCACCTTGTATACGAATTACTAATAACGACGTTTGTTTGTTGTTTTTTTGTTGTTTCAGGAATACCATTATCGACATTAGTATGTCTAGGCTTGGGTATATCGTTTAGTGTTCTTTGTTTTATAATCTTCAGATGCGTAACGTCCGAGCGAAAAATATGTCTGATACTTTTATCCGCAGTATTTGTTATTTTAACTGGTAAGTTTAATTTGAAACTGGTTGATTAAAAGATGTTCCTATGGTAAACCTGAATAATTTACAGATATTCGTGTGATAAAACTACATAATTTAAAGATATTTGTTTGATAAAACTGCATAATTTAAAGATCAAAACTGCATAATTTAAAGATCAAAACTGCATAATTTAAAGATATTCGTTTGATAATTGCGACTTGTTAAAACCATGTGTTATAACAGGAAGATATTAAATTGCTATTATAAACTCGGTAGTTGATCATTGCTAATTGCGACTTGTTAAAACCATGTATCCATATAACAGGAAGATATTAAATTGTTATTATAAACTCGGTAGTTGATCATTGCTAATTGCGATTCGTTAAAACCATGTGTAGCTATAATAGAACGATATTAATTGTTATTACCTTAAACTCAGTAGTTGATAATTATAATGTGAATTTCTTCTTGTTATCCCCACTTACTGCTTTCATTGTTTTGGTGCCACGGTGATTCGGTAAGCAAGGCGCTGGCTAATTAATCTGAAGGTCCGGTATTCGATATTCGATCCCGATGTGCCTCAGTGATTTTTTCAGTGTGCCTTTCCCCTGTCAGTGTCTATTCGTTTGGATGGGACGAAATTGTCTCATAGCACACTGTACGGATGTTAATTTAATTGCATTACTTCCGGAATTAAAGTGATCGGCATGTGCTTGTATCTTAAAGTGAATCACTGTCGGACCGTAGGGATACCTGACCTCATCCATTCTATCACCCATTACAGATTCTGTGCAGTAACGTAGCTCTGCTCCCCGACACCCCGCTCCCCCACCCAACCACCTCATATTTTATCAATCTTCTTGGCTGTCTATTTTCAGGAATATTAATACTAATTGGTGTTGGTGTTGTCGCCCCTTTCATATCATCTGGCTATGGGTCTTCGTTTTACTTGGCATTATTTGGTGGAATTCTGTATTTGGTATCGGGTTTACTGTTGCTAGTTAATTTGTGTATACCGTATTCGCTGCCGTCTCGAGATGCCCCTAAACATTCACGCACAAGAATTTGTCTAACTCTAATTTTTTGTTAAGCCAAGCAAGAAGACTCGACAAATGATACTAATCTTGCTCCGCCGCTGCATCGCAATACAACGGCAAGAAAGCAAGAAATGATTAGTTCGTGTCGTTTACATATAGCGAAGTGAAGCCACAAAGGAGCCAGATTCACCCTCGATATCCCCAGTGGTCTATTTCGTTCTACTCCACTGAGTGGTTCAGGGTTTGAAGAAAATCCAACAGACAGACAATATTTGGGGCTTATATTAACATTTTATGTATGATACGACTTACCATAAAGACTGCATACATCAACAATGGAAGTCATAGCACGTTTGATTTTTGAGGATATAACCAACTGGACATGCGTTTTTAAATGCTTCAATTTATAATCGTCTCCCATAATCAAGGGAGTTAAATCTGTTAGTATTATAACTATTCGTTCATTCCGTTATGTTTATTATTATTGAACTTATACTTGGCAATTTGATTCTCAATAAAACTCTTGAACCTAAATATATAAACACCTGTCCGGTCTTCATTAATATATTGTATAATAATTGTAATTTGTTGTTAATAAATACGCATTTAGTATAGTGTGGACTTCTCTCATTTAGACTATCTTCTGGATTACTTCCCTTTGCCAACTTCCTTTTCAATTAACGATTTATGGGATTGGTAGATAAAAATATAACGCAATCATTAAGGGCAGATAACGTGAGAGAGAGAGTACAGTTTTGGAAACCTTAGAGATGGGGTTTAACGTCCATCCGACACAAACTAGCTCATTTTGGGACTAACATATGATTCAATATCTTTTTAACAAAACAACTAAATTATACATTTACTATAATGCTATGACATTGTGTAACGTTCGTATATTTGTTATTTGTGATAACAATATGCTCACTAGAAATAAAAAATCAAAGAATTTAATGGGGAAGACACTAAAGAAATTAGCGATTTTTGTTTTATGTGAATATTGTTATTACTAATAATTAACATGTAAACCTATTTCATGTTACGTTTTCTGTGCTTCAAAATATAGATATAAATCAAAGAATTTAATGGAAGACACCAAAGCAATTAGCGCTTTTTGTTTTATGAGAATATTACTATTATTACTAATAATAAATATGTCAAAACAATTTGATGTTACGTTTTCTGTGCTTCAAAGTGTTACAGTTCTTTTGTAAATGTTGGCAGCATAATTATGATTATTGATACTAAATTCACGTTTCCTAATTATACGTTAAAAATTAATAGTAATATGAAGCACTAACAATTTAGAATATGTAACCAGTTCTAAACATATTACATAGGTGTGAATCTGTCATAGAATTATATGCAGAGCTTACTGATTAATTCTGTTTGAAAACTTGTCTCAAAAATTTTGATATATTAAATCTGGTATTTATCCTTTTTATGAAGTGCACTATGACAATACCTTTAAATGGAATTTTTATCCATTCGTTTTCCTTGCCCATAGCATTAAACCTATGTAAGTTTTATCCAGTTCGACAAAAATCTCTTAATGTGCTTGAACACAAACCTCATTATTATTAAACATGGGAAATATCTCCAAAAATATTCTTCAGCATAACACACTAGTAAACACTAACGTTTTATTCAATTCCGTCAATAACCTCTAGCTGTTTGCTTGCTTGTTAAATCCACTCTACGTTTTTTAATGGGAGAGAGAGGGAGAGAGAAGAGAGAAAGAGAGAGAGGAGGGGGTGTAACGTCCATTTGACACAAACTATGTCATTTTGTCGAGATTAGCAGTGGGAGGAAACCGGACGAACCGGACGACTCTACCCCTTGTCACGTACAAGGGGAAATCGAAACCACGCCACCTGACTCAATCACAGACACTCTGATCCGACGCGCACGCATGTGCGTAGGATCTATAACAGTGGGAGGAACCGGAGAAAATCCACCCTACTCCTTGTCACGTACAAGCGGAGAATCGAAACCACGCTAATCTGTCGTGTGTTCTGTGTCTGGAGTTTTGTAGTATCCATATTCCACTGTACCTAGTCAAATTTCAAATTGTTGTCCTTCAATTATCGGTCTAGTCTATTTTCAAATGTTTTGCTTTATCGACACTTGCAGTAGTTTATTGTAGGTGTACGATTTGTAAAGAAATTCTTCCTTACATCTTTCGTTTATACATTCATGTGGTGACGACCTCTTGTAATATTTGGGTTGGATAGTCCAGTATGTGGGTTTACTATATTTAAGCCAATATCTTATAGGTATATCGATTCCTCGCTTGTACGTCACAAGGACTAGAGTCGCTTGTCCAACCTCGTTGGTTTTCTCCGGGTCCTCCGGTTTCCTTCCACTGCTAAAGACCCCTACGTGTATGCGAATTATTGAATTAAAATTGAACCAAGTTATTCCCGAAATGACTTAGTTTGTGTCGAGTGGACGTTAAACCCCATTCTCTCTCCCTCTCTCTCTCTCTTATAGGATTAACTGCACGAATTACCCTGTTTTTCATGTACGTAGCCTCTCCCCATGCGATATATCCACCATATGCATTTTAGATATCCGTCTCTGTACGTTCGAAATAGTTTATATGTCTTATTACATGGATTCAAAGCATTATTCGCACATTCTAGAATCTAGATGCGAGTTGAATGTCCAACTAATAATACCTACTATTCGATTGGTTTTATTCACCAACGTTTTGATATGTTTATCGAACTCCAGATATTTTTTATTAATATTCACTATTATGTCGTTATCAATTTCTAGAACAGTCATGTTTTATTTGTTCCCGTGTTTTATAGTTTCCATAAGTTGTTCAGATTATCTTGTATAATTTATATGTCACGCTCATTTGTTTTCGTTAAGTGTCAACAGCATGTAAAAAACGCCCGACAGTATCTCATTTATACACATTACGAACAGAATTGGTCCCAAATCTGAACCCTGTGGGATTCCCAATTATATTATATCAGCTAGATCCTTTCCTGATATGTAGTTTCTGTGGTCTAACACTAAGAAAGATTTGGACCAAGTTACAGGTTTTAATACCATAATGTTTTAAGTAAGAGTCTTCGGGTGATATAACTTTTATAAGTAATTATACATGGGTGTCTTTAGGTTATATAATGCATATAAATAAATATACATGGGTGTCTTCAGATGATATATTATTCATATAATTATGTGTCTTCAGATGATATAATGTATATATACATAATTATACATATATGTCTTCAATGATATAAATTATATAAATAATTATACATAGATGTACACCAAAAACACGGTTTTATACATTGTAGTATAATATATTATCTTAACAATGGATTATAAATAATACAATAAAATATACAATACCTAATATGACATTTCTTTCTTTGTTTTCCGGGTATAAATTGACAAAAATATAATACCAATTTATAGAAGTAAAGAAATTAAAGAAATTTCAATTGACGAGTTATGTAATCTGACTACAAATATACCATATAATATAAGATATTTTAAGTAAAATTAGATAACCAAAATAGTATACCAATTTATAGATGTGAAGAGAGTATTAACAGATCGTAATAAATAGTGGGATTTAAAAAAATATATTCAAAACATATATTAATATTAAAATGATAATATAAACCTTTCATTGGAAGAATCTATTTCAATCTTATATAATTAATAAATAAAGAGGTTTAAAGTTATCTTAAAACATTTAAAAATTAAGAGATAATGATAATGGAAAAGTTTAAATTACCTCATACTTTGGAAGGAAATATTTTCACACATATAAGATGCGGTGAATAATGTACTTGTTCATGTGCGTTTTACAAAATATGGTACATAAATTAAATACACATATAAAATAAAATACAAAAAAGACACGCGTGTAAACATTGAAATTAACGTAAAATTTTATAAATTTCACCAATGCATAGACTAGCATTACTAATGGAGAAGAAATCATTTGAAAAGTTTCTCGTTATGCATAATGTAAAATGAATGATGTGTGTTTTCAAATATTTCTGAGAGATGCATTATGTTACAGCTAAATCTGCCTATTGAAAGTTTTTATTTTGACTTCAAATATTATATTAATATTCACTTAATAAGCCTATACAATCAACTCTCTAGCACATCGGATGACTGAGATTTAAAAGGATTGAATACGGTCGCCAGTTAATAATTAAATTTAAAAATGGTAATTCAAGACCGAGCCTTGGTTGTCAAGTACCATTGCTACAATAATAATAATTCAATCAGTGATACTTTGAATGGAATTTTCAATATATTCAGTTTTCATTATCTTTTAAAAACTATTATAACAAGAACGGTCAACTCTTTATCTAAATCTTACATAATGTATGTTTAAATAACACCAACGGGTGAACATAAAATTTGCAGAACGTTTAAGTAACAAACATGCGTCTGTTGACGATCAGATATTTCCGTTATTTAAGCATTTATAAGTAAAAAGGGGTTATTTGAATTGAACTATAAAGGACATTAAGCATATCAGTCTAGTAAAAATATGGACAATGAAATTGGATTCAATTTTGCTCCTTTTAATGGTATCGTCATATTGCACTCCATAAAAAGGATAAATACTATAATATTTAACGTATCAAAATTTTTGGCACAAGTTTACAAATTTTCAAAACAGGATTTATGGGTAAGCCTTCCTGCCTACAAAAACGAATATACGCATATAATGATGTGGCAAATTCACCAATGTAATATATTGGTCACTGCTACAATTCATATACTTTGACAACCTTTACAAAATGGAACTGTAACATTTTGAAGCATAAAACATAACATTAAAAGTAGTTTGATATTCAGCCCTAGTAATGTACCACTTAGGTCTTATCATTGGTTATAATAATATTCCGATCAGACCAAAAGTGTTTATTTCTTTGGTGTCTTTCTTTAAAATATTTCCTGAGAGTATTAAAAAATTATATTATCACAAAATATAACAGATATTTAGAACATTACACAACGTTATGAAATATTTAACTGTACAACTCTTTAGAAAATAATTAATCCATTAATCCTTCGCATTAACATAATGCGACGAATAGTCCTAATCTCGCCCCATTGCGGCTTCGATTCACTACTAAGCGAAGGAAGATTAGGGGCCTTCACCTTAAGTTAGTTAACGCAAAGCGAAGGAGCGAAGGGGTGCTTATCGACTTCCATACTAGTAGCCACCACAGGAAGTGCCCAACAATACGAAAATGAAATCAAATAGAGTATAACGTCCTACTGTTCTGTCCACTCCGTAAAACCCTAATGAACGTTTTCTTCCTACACGGGATCTCCAGATTAGCGATCCAACGTCTTATTCACTGAGCCACCGCGGCTCCCGTCAAACAATACGATCATAGATATATCCATAGCTACCTAAAAACACCCTTTGGGGATCTAGGGAGCGAAATAAAATTATTTACCCATGACGGATATACGCCACGTAGTGTGTTATAAGGGAAATGTGACACTGCGAGCCGGATTACTTTTCGTAGAATTTTAAATAGGATGAGCTCTCTTACCTGCATGCCAACATGTGCGTGCATACCAACTGTGCACTTTTGTTTGTGAGTTTCTCTGCCTGGCACCAAAGACAAGAGGGAAATCAAGCCGGAAAATCTCGGCCAACAGAGCAATTGAACACCGCGACTGTTCACCGAACCGCCTGGTTAGCTAGCACCTTACTCACTGAGCCATGGTGACTTTAAGGGAACATTTTGTAGTTTTTATAACTTTTTGCTCTGAAAATATCTTAATTCCATTTGAAAATATGAATTGTCAATATGAAAGAGAATGTTTAGAGCAAAATATCAAATATAATTTTTAGAGTAAAATGCAATTAAAGCTGCAAATGTCTCGTGGTCCCCGGTGATATATGGACACAGTATAATTTTGGTGGAACATAACGCAAAAAAGGACGCCATATGTAGTAATATTTGATGAAAAACTACCATTATTGATTAGGGTCCATTCTCATATCAACTAGCACCAGAATGCCAGATACCGCATACAGAATTCCACCAGACAATGCCACGTAAAACGAATATCCATAGCGAGGAGATAAGTAGGGGGCCAGAATACCAACACCAATGCATATTGATACGCCTGAAAAATAGAGAGTCAAAGAAATAGGAAATGACACAAATGAGTTGATTCGTACAATATTGAGGGGGGGGGGGCTACCAGTCTGTATGGAAATTACTACTTTACTGCACACACTTTGGATGAGATCGGGCCTCGGGTTAACAAAGCATACGTAAGTACAAATATATGCTTCCCTTCGCACCCATATTCCGGTTGTGCACTTTGGAACAATAGAACAATGTGGTGTTTATATATGTTTATATATCTTTATCCATAATACAAAGATTATATGCAGGAAACTACACCCACACAACTATAACTTGAAATATAAACTCCCTGTTCCTGGGATTAACGTCCACTCGACATAAACTAGGTCATTTTGTGGCTAACATATGGTTCAATTGTATTTCAATAATTCGCTTGCGTGTAGGGGGTTTAGTAGTGGGGGAAAACCGGAGGACCCGGAAAAAAACCAACGAGGTTGGACAGGCGACCCTACGCCTTGTCACGTACAACCGGGGAATCGAAACCACGTCAGTTGAGTCAATGACAGGTGTTATGATATACAGCGCGCACGTGTTAACCCTTCGGCCATCCAACTCCCCGACCACCGAATAATGTCTGAACACCGAATGATGCCCTCCCTAGGAACACCGTATGATGTCTGAAGCAATTTAATCGCGCTCTTTAATTTATATAAAACGTTTAGATACGTCAACTATTAGGACGGACCATTACCATATTTGGGTAAGTGTTTCATTTGGGCAGCCTTTAACGCCAACCTAATTTTATAAGATTGGACTAATCTGTGCACTAGAAGGCTGGAGACCCCTTACCAGATTTTTGCTCATTAACGTAAAAGAATATCATTTTACCGGAACGTGCCAATAGTAACCCACTTCCAGGCATAGATGGTGGCAGAGACTGTCATTGGGTTTTATTAAGAAAGTTTTGATAATGCCAGGTACCTAATTAGCCCAGTTCTCGTTGTCACCTATCTGTAGGTCACGAATTCGTTATATTAACCAGTAAACTAAACTAACCCCTATAGATATATAGTATTACAAAAACGCATAGCTTTACCCCTCTTAAGCCCCACGTGATATATACGTCACTTGAATTTTAGGGGGGTTGGCGACAGGGTCAATAACATGAATTCAACTATTTTACCTGCACTTATGCCCAAGGTGACACTATTGTCACACTAACAGGACCATATCGAGTTAGTTTAATGAACTAAGAAGGGCGTGCCAGCCTTTCCAATATGACAGCCCCTAATTTTAGGAAATAATTTTAGACAGAGTAAAATTACCTTTGGGTCTGAGAGAGTCAAGTTTTAAATAAATCAAATTAAACTTACCAGCTAAAATACCACTCAAGGCGGATGAAATCTGCATCCCTTTAGTTTGTTTACACAACACGATTATGATGAGTACAAAACTAAGAACGCCAATCATTATGCCCATGCCTAGACATACTTGTGTTGATACTGGTATACCTAGATAGAAAATAAAATAAAAAAAACATCGCTAATAGTAATTAGTATACAAGATGCATACAAAGATATATGTGATAAATGGTCTTCCAATATTCTCCAAGACAGAAACTTGTCTCCGCGGTACTGAACAGTTGGATGTCGTAAGATAATCCGCTAGCATTATATACTCAGCCAAATTAAAAACTTGACACTGATGAATTTCAACAAATTTATTTTTCTGGTAAGTCAAATAAATTTTAAAGTGTTTCTAACGATAGTAAGTAGTAAGAAGCCTTTAATTTCATAAAATTGTAAAGTCACGTGGATCACGTGACTTTTGAGCATATAAAGATGAAAAACCTGAAAAACACGTGCAAACACAAACTCGTGAGGTCAATCGATGCAAGTTTGCTTAAACTGAACACGCACACGTAACTTGAACTGGAAAAACAAATTAAAATTGTTATTTTCATCTTTGTTAGAAAATGCCGCGCCTTTCAAATGTAGAACGTCCACGTGCTATAGGTAGGCTCTATGCTGGTCAGTCTGTGGTCACTGTTGCAAGAGCCTTTAATTGTTCAAACCAGACAATAATTAGTCTTAGAATGAGAGTGCTTCAAACTGGAACTATTGCCGACCGCCCAAGGGCGGGAGCGCCACGTGTGACGTCACTCCAGGAAGATCAAGCAATACGATTACGTCATCCTAGAAACAGATTTGTCACTGCAACCTCCACAAGTAGAGAGATGTTTGGTGGAAGGGTAACTGCACAAACTGTTCGAAATCGCTTGCAGGCTGCTGGTCTTCGAGCTCGGAGGCCCTATAATGGACCAATATTGACACCTCTTCATCGCCGTAACCGACTTGTGTGGGCCACAAAACACATAAGATTTACTCAAAGACAGTGGAATTCGCTTGTCTTTAGTGACGAATCTCGATTCACTTTGAGATTTGCCGATGGCAGGGTCCGAGTGTACCGCAGACGAGGTGAACGTCAGCAAGTGAATCCACCACTGACGTTGCAGGACCTTCAACATGCTCTTGCTGAGCAGTGGCGACGTCTTCCTCGGGTAGTGTTTACTAATGTTCTGAGATCCATGAGAAGACGTTGTGTGACAGTACGAGACGCTTGAAGAGGCCACAACCGTTACTAAACACTTTATTCCGATTGTTCTCCAAGTCTGTGAATTTCAATTTGTGGGGTACTGTGACATCACGAACGTTATCAATGTCAAGGACTTTCGGCGAGACGTAGTCTTGCTTTCTGTTGATGTCAAGGTCGTCTGTGCACAACATAACACTAAAATAGTTGCCTTAAACCAAATATTAAAAATCTAGTCCCAAAAATCCCGAGTGTCAAGTTTTTAATTTGGCTGAGTATATTTACTGACACCCTGATTTACTTATTCTGAAATGTAACAGCTTAAGGGTGAATCTTGCGTTTTGATTGGTCGATTAGACACTGTCTAATGTCTATTGGACAATAACACCCCTCTAAATTAGAAAAATCACTGCGTATTAATATTATGCGTACTCCTTTAATGGTGATAACCACAATGGAGACAATCAATTTTGATCTCGGTACATTAGAGGAAATATTTGGAGATATGTCCTAAGATGAACTTGAAACAACACCCCCTTGTCAGGTAACAGCTACAAACAACAAAAAATTCAAAAATCTATTACAAAAACATAAATTTTGTTTCAAAAAGTACTTTTAAAAAAATGAAGTGAGAATTTTAGGTTTTTTTTGTGTGTCTATACTCATACGGCTACTCTAGCAACCAGACGATAAGCGAGCCAAATCTAACATGAACAGCCAGTTACCCCGCTACGTCACGACGTTTTCATTACGTCAAAATTGATTTCTTTGGTTTTTACGTCACTAAAACCGATTTGCAGTGAGACGAATTTTGAAGTTTACACAATAAAATAAGTTCTTTTAAAATTCTAAAAAATAGCATGTTACAATGTCGATAAACACCTCCTAAATGAACAACATGAAATGTGAATTAGATCAAAGGTTCCTGCAACTTGTAGATGGGTGCCAAAGCTCTTGACTGCAGTTGAGAAACGTGTTAGATTCCTGACATCCCGTGAAAATCTGCGCCGTTTTGAAGCAGATGCCGATATTTTCTTCGCCAGATTTGTAACCAAAAAGTGAAAAAGGAGCTAGCCGGTCGACATTTTCTTAGTAATGACGACGTCATTTCAGCTGGGAACGGCTTTTAAGGGTGGCTGAAGAAAAGTTCTTCCTGACTGGCATCCATGCTGTTCTTTGTTTGGTGGTAGTAATGATGCAATAAAAACTCCGTTCAGAAGTGAACCCCGTTGGCTCAGTAAAATGGAGGTCCCGTGTTCGATCACTGCCTTGGCGATTTTCCGGCGTGATTCCCCCTTGTCAGTGGTATAGGACAGAGGCCCTGGCAAAGAACAACAACAACATTCTGATCTCAAAGATAATTTGGACTGGTTTGTAGATAAAGCTTTTCATGGAACTTTCGGGAAAGGCAGACTTGATAGCCATTTATTCAGAAGATGCTAAATGGGTTATAAAACGTCGCAATGCCGACACTGTAATTTTTGATAAAGAAAAGTTTTAAAACATCATACATTTTTTCATTGACAATGCCATATTTGAGGTTGGGGATAAGATGATACAACAAACTATTGGTTCACCAATGGGAACTGACCCAGCGCCATTTATGGCAAATGCACATTTATATAAATATGAATTTTGCTTTCAGGATCATAAACGGAAAACAGATTACATAGTAGCTAAAAGTCTAAACTATACTTTCCGATACATTGATGACATAACATCCATCAATGATAACGGAAATTTCAACAAATATAAAAGTAAAATATATCCCCCAGAACTAATATTAAACAAAGAAAATTCCGGCACTATACATGCATCTGTTCTTGACCTGGACATTAATATAATTAACAATAAATTTAACGTCGCTATTTTCGACAAAACGGACAAATTTGGTTTTGAAGTAGTAAAATACCCACCAATTTATAGTAACATACCAGATACCACGCTATAGTGTTTTCTATTCACAGGCATTACGATTTTTAACAATATGTAACGATAAAGAACTATTTCTTTCCCGAATAAAATCTCTTTATTTTAAGTGCATTGCCAAAGGCGGTACACATTTACGGATTTTAAAAGAAATTTCGAAACTTCCATTTCTTCAACATACCAAGTTTGACATTTTTTATAAGTATATAACCGACTACATATTGGATAATGATCAGTTGGAGCAGAACAGTAGGACTCCATTTTATTTTATTTCTCTTACAGAAATTCTCAATTTTTATACAAGGGGGAAGGAGGAGTGGTGTGAAGGGGTAGATCTCTTTCTTAAAGTTACAATTTCATATTTTCTAAGAAAGTCAAAACATAATTATTTCTGTCTTTTGCTCAAGAGGTTGTCAACTCATTATTATGCGCTCATAGGTGTCATTCTCACACTTAAAAATCATAACACCGGAAATAATCACACAATTACCTCCCAATTACCTCCCTTGTTTTCCTATTCCCCACCATGGAATAGCTATCTTCAAACGTTTGAATTTGAAGTTGAAAATTATATTTTTGCCAATTTCTCAACTGGCAATAGTGAATTATAGGATGAATTGGATTATTTTTTTAACAAGGTAAGGCTGTTTATAGATACCATCTATTTTAGGGCTTTATTTTAATACATTTTAAAAATATAACTTAAAAATATGATATTGTACATTTAAGGCCAACTCAATATTTAGTCAAGATCGCTGTGATGTAAATAAATGTAGGGCACGCGATTGTTGGCGAGATTATAGATTAGGGTTAGGGTAAGCTATAAGACCAGGTCCTGGGGTAGGGTTAGTGTTGGGGTTAGCCCTGTTTACATCTCGTGACCTCTGACCAAACTTGAAGTTGGCCTTATGAAATAGAGCTAACCGGGGTAAAGGCTGGGTATTATAAAGTGTCTCTATAGCGTAAATACTTTAGTTTTATTTCCGGCAGATTTTTTTTTTAGTATTTTGTAGATTTCAAAATAGCTTTCTATACGGAAATCTAGAGATGTAAGCTGGTATGGGACATTTTCTATGGGACTTTTATCGTAAGAGCTTGTGGAGCAAATTTGTGTGAGGGCTACTAATACTAAACGACACTTGTCAATAGTTCGACACCTGCAAAATGGCGGCAATCACGTGACGTACACAAGCACCTCCCACCCATAGCTGTCATTCACCTTTCCGCGTGCTATTTGATTACTACACAAACTTACAATAACACAGTAATATAAATCGTGACACTGAGTATCACTGTCTTTTAAGTCGAATAGGACAAGAAAAAAACAACAAATATGCTAATTGTACTGGATGACTGAGCTTTAGTTCAGCGGCGGAGTGGACACTGCCAGTCCATAAACCACATTATAACCTACTATATAGAAATATAGACTACGCGGATTACGTACCTGAAAAATCATAATTATCTTCATCCTTATAATACGGTTTCCACAGCTCTTTGTTCAACCCGTCCTTATGCCAAGTTTTAGTAGCCGTTCCTACAACCGTCAGAAAAAACGCGACAATAGACGCAAATAAGGCACCCACACGATAGCGTGAACATGACATAGTGATATGTAAAGTAATTTTTAGTAACTCAGCAAACTGAATAGTTTAGCCTACCTACAATCGTCGATCATTTATAAACCTGTGTATACAAAACTCAATAACAGAAAATTCTATAAATGTTAACATGATGGCGCCACTGGGGTTAGCAACACATTATAACATACATGCTATCGAAAAATTGCAAAGACGATAATTGTGCAATACCATCAAAATCTTTATAAATATCGAGTGACACGACAAGGTACATAGATATATTCATACATGTATTGAATTGCAGTCAGCCACTTCTAGCTTAGCCCGGAGATTTTGAATAGAGTATGGTGTTCTAGTTCAGCCACTTCACACGTTGCTTTTGAAAAAAAAACTACAGTGCTCCATTTCAGTCCGTCGCACGTCGCTTTTTTAAAATGAAATTTCAGTCAGGGTAAATACATTTCTAATGAGACTTCAGATTACGAAATTAAAGTTCCCGCATTCAGTTACACACACCGATGTTTATTTTAATCCCATTTTTATTTGATTAGAGTATGAAGGTAACAGTGGCTATATAAGGTATAAGAGGCCATATAAGAGAGAGAGAGAGGGAGGGAGAGAGAGGGGGGGGGATTTTAACGTCCACTCGACGCAAACTACGTCATTTCAATAATTCGCTTGTGCGTAGGGGTCTTTAGCAGTGGGAGGAAACCTGACACCTGGAGAAAACCCACGAGGTTGGACAAGCGACCCTACTCCTTGTCACGTACAACCGGGGAATCGAATCCACGCCAGTTGACTCAATGACAGACCTTATGGTACAGCGCGCACGCGCTAAGCATTCGGCCATCCAAACCTCCCAGAGATTTAGGGTTATAGTTTGATCTTGTATATTTGAAGCCGGGGGGGGGGGGGTATCTGTTAATCAACTATAGGGGAAGCGACCACTAAGTTACGAAGTCTCCCAAAGAGAAGTCTGTCTATATATAAAATATCATTCATGAAAGTCGCTTTTCAAAGGCCAAGGCCTTGTTAAAATAGCTACCTCGTCTTTCTCCTCTATATCGGCCTATAAATCTAAAGTCGATATCTTACCTGCAGGGGATCCAGGTTAAAGGGGTCACATTGGCAAAGGGCGTTTCAACAGAAGAGAGAGGCGGGAAATATTGTGATTTTACTATCGTTTCCTTTAATTTACACGGCATGCTGTCTTCAAACAGCAACACATAACACTGTATCTTTACCAAGTAGGCTAGCTCGCTAACCAGGAGGTCCAGGATTCGATCCAGGTGTTGGCCGAGAAGTTCCCCCGGATTTTCCATCGTGGTTTTCCCTTGTCAGGTACCGCAGGATGGGGGCTTGACCAGGAACGATTAGACGCACTTCCATGCCAGTTCCCATGTTTTGCGTCACGTAAAAGGGAAACATCGTCGGACAAATCCCTTCTTTTATCATTTTTGGGGAACATTACAGCTTTGTCGTTAGGTTGGAAAACTTCCAAATTAACCAAGCTTAGAGCAGCTATACTTTAAATAAATCTCCGAGCAAAGGGTTAAAGAAAGATATTAACTGTGCATATCTGTCCTAATCAATAGTTATTATTCGGGTGATTAAATAAACCTTTTCATAAGACACGTAACAATATAACCATATTTTCTTTACAGCTGGCTACATGTTTTTAATTTTTATATATGAAAATTTCGGTTGTTTCAATTTAATGTTATTGCACCGTTTATCTTTATGGTTATTGAATTGAATTTAATATAGCGTTCATGATATACATGAAGTAAATGAAATAAACACATAATACAAGTTATCTTGAAATTTTCCAATGAATGAAACTTTTCCAGATTTCGCGATAGTTTATTCCAGAGTTATGGTGCCGCTACACTAAACGATCTGTTAGCAAATGTTTTATTTTTTTATTTTTGGATTATACAAATCCTGGGCATATTATGATCGTGTAGAATATCGATTTGGGTTGTAAGTTAAAAGAAAACATAGATACATTGGGGCAATATTGTTCAAACACTTATACACCATCAGTTTTATATTCAGCATGGACATGTATATTGGGAGAAAATGTAGTTGTTTCAGGGTGTTAGATGAACTATAAAATTTTGTTTGTCCAAGAATCATTTCAGCAGTGAGGTTTTGCACTCGCTGAAGAGGAGCAACTGTAGCTTTTGGCAAATTCACAAAAATACGTGATACTGAATTATTAATAAAATTGTTGAACTGCAAAGATGCATTATGTAAGAGATAAGTCTGTCTATTGACATTTATTCACATGTCAAGCCCATAATCAATTTTCTAGACATCGGATGATTGTGATTTCAACGGATTTAAACACTTTCGGCAGTTAATAATTTAGTTTAAAAATGGATAATCAAGACTTTGTTTATTATCGTAACAACGGTAGCAATGAAAATCTAGACTACACTATTCTTCAAATGGCCATAACACCCCTCAGAATGAAGTAATTTGACTGCAATTGCATTATCTATTTTTAAAGTATTATAGAGAGAATTGTCAACTCTTTATCTAAATCTTACATAATGCATCTTTAACATTGCGTTTCTTTTAATCTTTGTGTTTGATTGTTTTACCCTTTATTTTTACGTTCCTCTTAAACGGAATCGCGGAACCGTGACATCAGCAAAGATGCCGCTACAGCTGTAGGTGTGTTCTGCAATCTCTGTTAAACAACTGAATCAAACCTGACTGACTTCCAGATATCGAACCGGCTAACATCAGTGGATTGAATACCCGTGTCATATTTGATTTGTTCTATATTAACTTTTCCGAATCCGCAAAACTTTCCGGAAGGGTAAAGTTCCTACTACGGAGATCACCAACCGATCCAAAATCTGTTCCTACGAAAGGGTGGCATACTTTCGATCACTGGTACCAAGAAACTTTATCATCACACGATGATCATTGTGATATTTGTCAACGTTCTACTCTTGAAGAACTAAATAAACCCATCACATAATTTGAAGTTTCCCGGGCAATTAAGAGTGTGTGTCCTCATTAATAAGTCACCTGGCATTAAGACCACCATCAAGCCAGCCCTTTGTAATACATTCAACACAATCCTGAACAGCGTCATCTTCTCTGAGGAATGGGACAAGGCTATAATAAGTCCAATACACAAGAAGGTGATATGGACAATGTCGATAACTACAGAGGATAACTAAAGGTATTAAACTACAGACTTGTATCCTGGTGTAATTTAAATAATGTTACCCATGAGTATCAAGCTGGGTTTCCCCGGCAATGCTCAACTGTCCATAATATTATATTATAAGGAAATATTTATCTAGAAAAAGAGGGGATTGAATTGCTCTGGGAGCAGATATCCATGGAAAATTCACCAGTATCATCAGTAGCATGTTCTCCAAGTGCAAATCTAAAGACCGCTAGGCGCAAGCAAATTATTGAAATAAAATTGAACCAAATGTTTGTCCCAAAATGACCTAGTTTGTGTCGAGTGGACGTTAAACCCCATTTCTCTCAGGTTGATATCGGCCTCGTTTCCGTGTATGTTAATACGTCCCGTGATATCCTATATTTGCATATCCAAGTTAGTGCTCTGCGTAAGATGCTATGCAGAAAGCGTGAAGGACAAATGAGATGCAACAGACGCAAATGTAAAATGTAATGAGAGAAAGGTAAAATGTAGATATGTCAAAAAACAGCATTTACCAATAAAACATTTGTAATCTGACACATTACATTTTGACGTTTTACATTTAACTTTGGCCTTTTGACTTCATCATTACCGGTTTTAGGACATTGTACATTGTACTTTTTAAAAGATATTTTAGCGGAGCATGTAATATGGCAGCGATACCCTGCCATTTGATCTGACCGTGCTTGATAGATAGGCATTGTTATATGTCGCTGTTTAGAGAGAGAGAGAGAGAGAAATGGCGTTTAACGTCCACTCGACACAAACTAGGTCATTTCGGGACTTACACATGGTTCGATTTTATTTCAATAATTCGCTTGCGCGTAGGGGTCTTTAGCAGTGGGAGGGAAATCTACGAGGTTTGACAGGCGACCCTACTCCTTGTCACGTACAACCGGGGAATCGAATCCCGCCTGTTGACTCAATGACAGACCGTATGGTTCAGCGCGCGCGTGCTAACCATTCGGCCATCCAACCCCCCAAATCGGACGCTGTTTAGAGATGGTATGTCATGTAGAGTGAATCCACTGCTCAGGCATCATCATTTATGATATCTTTAGTTCGTTTTAAAATACTTATTTAATCAAATATGTTTTGGAGACATTCTGTAGATATACATCCATCAAATCTGCTTTTTAGATTCAAGTTTGAATATCGAAAACCAAGTAGCTTGTTTTTCGACATTCGCCAATATCGAAAAACGAGCTAGTTGTTTTTCGTTATTCGCCAATATCGAAAATCGAAAATCGAGCTAACTTCACACAGCCCCACTAGTATGACAACATTCTGAAAAACAAGAAAAGTATGTCATTCAGCAAAAGTGACCGATGCTGCCCGAAAACAAAATATATTTGAAATAAAAAAATACATAAAACAAAAATATTTCGGTTATATGGCGTCGTTGACAGGATTATGGGGGGGGGGGGTAACCGGGATCGATGCCCGGAAGAAGCATCCGACCTTAAGTTGGTTCCTGGCGATCATCCCACCTAAGGCCGGTCGAGAAAATTCCGGTCAACAAATTTTGGTATTTTCCCCAGTGTTGGATCTTGCGCCCTCCTAAATTAAAGGAAGGATATATCTTGGGTAGTAGCGGAGGACCCAACTGAAGCATACTTTATTTGAGCTTATATGTTTACTTTAAATATAAGACGATATCTACTTAAAATTGTATTTGTTCAGATATTTCCACATGGAGTCATGATCGTCAAAAGGATGACGTCGCAACAGAACATGTAAGGGTAGGCTTATAATAGGAGTCAACAATTTCTGTTACTGTTAAAAAATTATAATTTAACATTATCCAGGCAACAGTTTTCATTCTAAAAAAAAACCCCAAATCCTAGCAAAATCAGAACCAATAGCAATGGATCATAATTTACTCTTTGTCTAAAAATCGCCAAAAGTTTTCCAAACCAGTTTTGAAACTAGGTGGGTATTGTCTTTTGAATGAAACACACTAAATTTAGCAACGGTAATTGTGTGTGACCTTAAACTAATAAAGATCTAATGACTATGGCCGTCTTAAGGCCGTGTTGTAGCTGGTTTTTGACTCATGACGTTGGAAGTTTTGTAAAGATGCGGTACATTGAACGCTCTGTCGGTTTAATGTCATGACACGCCATAATTAACTGGCATGGGCAAAACGTGTGTGGTCGTATATAAATATGACATCTTTTATAAACTCTTTTCTATCTTTATAATTAAATCTGGACAAGAAAGATCACTTGATTTCAAGTTAGAATGAACTGGTATATACATTTAAAAAAAAACTAGGTGAGAACTAAAAACAAACAGACCTAAAACTAAAAAACAAAACCCAAAACTACAAAATATTTTAAAAGTCGTATATGGGCCACCGTAGCCACCGTACACTGAAAAAAAACTTGTGTTGAAACAACACAAACTTGTGTTGTTTTCAACACAAGTAAGGTGTCTCTATTTAACAACACAAACTTGTGTTGAAACAACACAAAACCCGTGTTAAATGTTGAAACAACACAAAACTTGTGTTAAAATTTATCAAACAACACAAACTTGTGTTGAAACTTGTGTGAAAATCTACACAATACTTGTGTTGAGATTTTTGAAACTTCTGTTTAAATTTTTGAAACTTGTGTTGAAATTTCTGAAACTTGTGTTAAAATTTCTGAAACTTGTGTTGAAATTTCTGAAACTTGTGTGGTTTCATACAAACTTGTGTATAACCATCCACAAAAACTTGTGTTGTGTTTTTCCCCAATTTATATACAGTATAGCAACCTTTTTATGCAGGACCCATCTCTTTGCTCTGTTAGACCTGTAAAGTTTGATAAAAGAAGGAAACAAAATTTGTTTTTGTTTTTGTAAGATTATTATTTATTCATAAAATCATAGGAAAAAGTAAATTAATACATCAAAACTAAATAGATATTTGAAATGTTAACAGAAAAACAGAGAATTCTAATACTAATTATATTGTGTTATATATAATGACCCCCCCCCCCCCACACACACACACACACACACACCCCACTTTACCCATCACAAAATATAACATAGCTATTTAAATTGTTCTTAACCCCACACACTTTACCTATCACAAAATATAAAATAGCTATATAAATTGTTCTTTACCCCAAAACAAGAACTGAGAATATAAAGATATGTACACAGTATCCCTACCCCATACTCCAAAATATATAATTCAAATAATATCTAAATTTAATAACATCCAAACCAAGCACTAAGATTAATTATGCACTAAATTGAAACAATTTCAAAAATGGAAAGTGCTACAAAATCACACTACAAGTGATTTGTGAGACATAGAAATAACTAATATACACAGAAAACTAACAAAAGAAAAATGCACTATTTTGCAGGAGTAATAAAATGATGTAAAACCTTTTCCTCATTAAAAAAAACCCCAAACAAAATGAATATTTTGTAAATAAAAGAAGCAAAGCATCAAGATTACAGGATTGAAATAAAAAAATATCATATGTACAAAAAATTTATATACAATCACAAGTCATAAGCCACAGTGGTTCAGTGAGTATAAGGTGTTGGCCGAGAAATTTCAACTGGATTTTCCGGCATAGTTCCCACTTGTCAGTAGTCTTGGATATGGCAAGGGATAATTGGGTACAAGCCCGGAATCGAAAGAGAGAGAGAGAGAAATGGGGTTTAACGTCCACTTGACACAAACTAGGTCATTTCGGGATTAACATATGGTTTAATTTTATTTCAATAATTCGTTGCGCATAGGGGTCTTTAGCAGTGGGAGGAAACCGGAGGTCCCGGAGAAAACCCACAAGATTGGACAGGCGACCCTACTCCTTGTCACGTACAACCGGGGATTCGAAACCACGCCAGTTGACTCAATGACAGGCCGTGTGATACCGCACGCACGTGCTTACCATTCGGCCATCCACCACCCCCTCCCCCATTCCCGGAATCGAAACCATCCCCACTGCGTTCACTTAGAAGAAGCCTTGACAATTGAATTATTTGACTCAATGACAGACTTCCTGATCAAATGTGTGCGTGTTAATCATTGACCCCCCCCCCCCCCGGGTTCCCGTTAAAGAACCCTTGACAGTTGAAATATTTGATATAAGAGTAGGGTGTAGGGCAGAATCACTCTAAGAACACAGAAAAGTAGGATACTAAACCGTATTTCATTTCATAAGCAAGGGAAAGTCACCTTTATGTAGGTCAAGGTTTTTTGTAATTCTGGGTGTATTTGATCTACATTTGGTTTCTAGTAATGCCTATTAAATACTTTATGATTTCTGACCAAATTCTAAGTGATTTATATGCCACTTTACTTGCTATATTATACATACATTTCTGAAGAGAATTAAAATCTAATTGTGTTTTGGAAGAAAATTTAACATTAATAACAAAAAATAAATATTTAAAAATTGGGTCAAATGCATTCTTTCCCAGAAGTATAAAATAAATTGATGATTGGGTTTTCTTGTTGTTATCATACAGCAAATACTCTTTCAATGGTGTTCCAGCCTAAAAAATAAAAAGTAGGAGATAAGAATACTTTCTATGGTTCACAACGTTTAAATAAACAATTTATTTTGCCACATCGAGACCGAGTCTCTATTTGGTTTCAACTTTGCGTAACGCTTATTGTGTCTTGTCCAGTTACAGACCCAGGCAGATTATTATGCTCAAATCAAATGAGTTAGAAGTCAGAAAAAAGTCTTGAGATTTGGGACTGAAGTCTCATAATAGGTCAACTATTCACCCTTTCATACATGTATTGTCTGCAAATCCAGATTCCCTACTACATCATGGCAGCACCTATTTACTTGGCAATGTCTAATTATTTTTGGACCCATTCTTATTTAATTTCCATTGACAACAAATTGGATATTACCCTTTAATATCTACTGAAATCTATTTGAAAGTAAAATACTGTCCATCATTATTTTACTGCTATTTTACTGTAAAAATACACATACATGTAGGGCCTATCGCAACTTGAAGGATAGAATAACTAGATTACCAAGCAAGTGTATAGAAGTACTTCCTGATTAAAAATACAAATATATATGTTACTTACATTTTGCGTGTTTTCCCCTTGTCAGTGATACAGGACGGAGGACCTGACAAGGACAGCTGTCTAGTCGTTCGGATGGGACGAAAAACCGAGGTCCCGTGTACACATTGGCGTGCACGTAAAAGATTCCTTGGCAATTGGAATTCGATATAAGAGTAGGCTGTAGCGCCGCTGCCCGGGCAAAATTCCCTTCATAGCCTACTGTATGGCGTATGCCCGTCTTCATTAGCCCAATTTATGAGCAAAACAGTAGGATGTTAAACCCCATTTCATTTCATTTTCAAAATTATAAATTAATTTGATGGCTTAATATTCAAAAGGTACAGTCCTTCATGTTTATAAAATTGTACGGGAGCCATAAAAAGCTCCTGATACCTTGAATATATGCAGTTTAAAAGTAAACAAAAATCTCAATATAGAACCAGTTCCTGATTTAAAAAGCAAATATGCATGGTACTAACATAGTCTTTGTCTGATAAGCAAGATCTGTGAGAAAACGTCTCCACAATATCAATAGCCCTTTCCAACTTGATCTTCCGAGGTGGGTAACTGAAAAAAAAATGGCAATGTATTAGTTGGCTTAAATTGACTAGACAGTTTTGATTAATTAAAAAAATGTTAATTTAATTACATTTGTTTTGTTTCATGTGTTGGTTTGCTTTGCCACAGATGAGACAATGATATCTACATATAACTAAGATTCTGTCTCTGGTCATACATGACGTGTACAGTTTTACTATACTAAACTGAATTTTAGCTTTCAAAATAGCATAACAATCTTTTCTATTAGAATTGAATAGTTACCCACCAAGAAAAAGCTGCTCTATCATCATTTTTTCCAGCCATTTCTTCTTCCATTTTTTTCTTTTATAATTTCTTTTGTTATTACATGATCTTTTTCTGGGTGATTTGCATATACATCCAATATTGAAACTGAAAAAATAAATACATGATATGTAATTTACGATTAAAGCTACCTTACCATATATACAAACTGTGTGATATGAAATTGAAACTAATGTATCTATATGTATCAAAAGTTTTAATCCCAAGGAACTACCAAGCCGTAAAAGTCTATCTTAATAATCCTTGTTTGTCACATGGTTTCACTGTCGCAGTAATTAGAAGACGGCCATGGTGACTGAGTAAATTAGGTGCTGGCACACTAGCATGGAGGCCACAGGTTATCTCTTGGGGTTGACCGAGAAAGCTCATCTTGATTTTGCAGAGTGGTTTCCCCTGAGATCCAATGTACACATTGGCGTACACATAAAAGTTCTCTTGGCAGTTTGAATTCGGTATGAGAGTAGGCCATAGTGTCGCTGCCCAGACAAACATTTTCACTTAGCACAATGCATTAGACCAGTCGGAGCTGACCAGTAGGACGTTGTCTTTAAACCCCATTTCATTTCAGGTAATCTAGTATTTTTCTAGTAAGATTGAAGTCTCTCTACTTTCTTTATATGTAAATATCATATTTGAAATAAGTCATACTTTTATTCGATATGGGGTGGGGCTGGGGGGAATGGTCTAGTAGGTAATGCATGCGCATGAAATCACAGGGTCTGTCATTGTGTTAAGTGGCATGGTTTCAATTTCAAGGAGTAGAGTCGCTGGGTCATTCGGTTTCCTCCGTTTTCTAAATACATGTACCCCTACGCCAAGCGAATTATTCATATTAAATTGAAGCATACCTTCTCTAATCTCTGGGTCCTTTTGTTTCCTCCTTTTGCTAAATACCCATACCCGCAAGCGAATTATTCATATTAAATTTAACCTTACCTGTCCTTTTTCCCGAAACGACCTAGCGTCTGTAGGCTAAGTAGATATAAGGACCCATCTTGCAACAACTCTACATGTAGGTTCGTGCATAATTAATATTACAGTAACATACCAATTTTTAATACATGTAGAATGAGACAGTGTGCAGGGAAAGGGTGGAAACAGAAGTAGGCTAATCCTCGTCGTAGTTGATTACCGGTATGCATATAGGCACAGCATGGACTACTTGATTCTTCAAATACAAGTACATGTAAGGCCTTGTTTATGTCATTTCTCTCTCTCTCTCTCTCTCTCTCTCTGTTGCATGTAAGTGTCATATAAATACTTTATTTTGGATTGTATGTTCACATACACTAATCATTGTAGGACATTGGTAAAAAAATAAATAGAAAATATAAAAATTAATTGAAATTTTTACCTGTTTTTCTTCGATTCAATGCCAATGGAGTCCTTGGTAAATTCTCAATAATTATTGCTGGAAGGTGGAAAGAGTCACATATCATCACTGACTGGAAAAAATAATAAAACTATAGAGAAACTTCCACAGGCTGATTCTAGTTCCATTATTTATTAACTGTGACTGAATCAGGCAAAAATGGGGCCTAATATTAAATATTACACAGACTCACAGAGGTTGAACAACGGATTACATGTCATTTGGGACTCACGTCATTTGGGACTCGCGTCATTTGGGACTCAAAAAAATATGACCACGACATTTGGGACTCGGGTATACGACGTTTGGGACTTTGGTATACGTCGTTTGGGACTCGGGTTAACGACGTTTGGGACTCGGGATAATTTATTAGAAATAGGCCAATTCAAAACAGGAAAGAAAATATTTATTAACATGAAACACGTGGTTAGTAAAAGGCTCAACCAAACGATAAAACATTAGTTGCACTTACGGTTCTTTGATAATCATCGTTTCTCATAAAAGTTTTATATTTATTTAAAACGAATAATATGCTGATGAATTTATTTGAAAATGACCTACACAAAAAACAAAATAAATATTTACACGACATGCAATCTTTTTTTACAAGCCCCTAGAAATTGTTAACGATAATCCGTGAGCTGCACGTTGACATGCTTGTCGTAGATGGCAATACCAATTGATAAATTAGTGCGTACAAGGCAAAGTTTTTTTGTGGAAAATATAAGAAATGGCAACGAACGTAGCGGGATAATTAAAGCTGATAATCCCAATGTTATTACAGTATGTTCAAAGAAACCTAACGGTTCTTTGGTGGATGAATTGCAATGTTTGTTTTGTGTTCTGGGCGCCATTTTGAAAAACAACTGACATGACCTATATAATACAATCCAGCGATAGTGCAGTCAATTTCCTTTAAAAGGGAATCCGAATTTGTTAATTTTCTGCAATATCACTTCGGTGGTAGCGGACGTTAAATAAAGCTACAATAAAATCCAGGTGAATTGGGAAAAATATTCATGTATTTTCTTGATGAAGAGTAGCTATTTCAATTTGTAAATGCCCAGTCATCTTAGACAAATAATAATTCCAACTTCAAATCAGTTGTATTTATTCAAATCATACTATGAATAATTGTATTTTTCCACTTGCATAATAATAAAAACTTGACTTTTATTATTTTATTTCTTCAGGCCAAGAACATGGAAAATTGTTAATTGCCTTGTATCACTGCTAACTATAAGGCACAGGGAGCCTTGGGCAGAAACGATAATAATATGGTTGTCAGATATGTTACTGTGTACAGACTGAACAAAAAATATATATACACTTGCTAGTTTCCGTGGCGTATTCCCAATAAGCGTTAGAAACAAAGATATACACCCTTAATCCCGGTGCCGATAAATGTTGGGTTGTGTGGAACATGCTAACAAATCTCGGGTACGATATATGTTTGATTCTGGTTGAGAACAGCATGAGAGCAACATGATTGTTTTCATTGGAGATGAGACGCAAATATTCAAAGGGGTCAGACAAACTCTAAACCAACCGCGTTCCCTTCACTGAGTCCCTTCAAAGGAGGCCCTGTCTGTCTACCTGTGGAATAACATGCATTTGTATCTGTTAAATTTGTGTGGTAGACAGATTGATATTATTTATATAACGTCTTACCCCAAACAAATTGCAAAAGAAACCATGAAGTTTCTGAGGGCGATATTTCGTAATTAGTGTGCTTTAATGGTGGGAGAATAAATAATTTCTTTTTAAATTTTTCAAACATAAACTGGTCATATATAAAATAGCATTTTCTGACAAGACCAGCGATAATCTCGTAAGATATGACTTTTACTATGTCTATTAAATGGTTTTCGACGTCTCTTCAAGGTCACCGTCTTGCGCCAAAGTCGTGAAACGCACCGTCGGGGGATTTGTTGGGGCCTGTCTCCCCCAGAAAAATTTCTAGAAATTTCAAGTCGGTCTTGCCTGGCCGTGAATACGGCAACCTGAAAGTGGTCGATTTTAATGTAGACATCTGAACTACAATCAACAAATCAATCAACCAGGCTGTTGTCGTTGCATTCACACCAGACGTGTCACCGATGAAACAAATATGCCTGAACCAAATGTCGCTGTTAGTGCGACCCATTTGTGACAATTTCAAGGTCCCAAATAATAGTCCTTTTTTACTATTAATAGTAATTCAATCAGTAAGTGCTATTTACCTTATAATAGTCGTCTTGGCTTTTACCCGACATTACACAAAACACCAACGGTAACTGTCGGGTGGTCTCTCCAGTCTTAATGAAGGCGTGGATGGAAAACAGCTGAGACCATGGCTTGTTCACCACCCGAAAAGTTGCATCCATATACCAAGTTTTGGCGCGTGCGAGTAGTTGCATCTGTCTATCAGTACAAAAAATGTGATGGCGCCTTTCCCCAACTTTTACTCTTTTTTGATAAAATCCCGGTGCACTATGATCGATGAAATTTTCGCCAAGCTAAAACAAAAAATAAATAAAAAAGTACATTTAATTACATGTTAATATATAAATAAAATTGTACATTTAATTACATGTTAATAAATTCTTATATACATGGGTATTTAATTGTATGAGTACTTACGCTTGACGACACGTCAGTGGGATCTTTTGGTCGCAGAGTCTGTCGGGTTCTTTGTAGCGACCTTACAAGTGCTGCCATGGGTGGTCTGCTATGAATGGGTTCTTCTGCAGAACCGACACTGGATAAAACTCTCTCCGCTATTGAGGAACATGACTTGGTAAAAACATTTCCTTTGACTTCATGCTTTGCCTGTAATTATAAGATAAAACATATTAAACTACAAATATATTATTGGTTTATTTATATTTTATTTATATACACACATATATAAATTTTTAATTTAATTGATATATAATTTTTAAACCTACTGTAACTTTTATCTTGGTAGCCGTGTGTATACCGGGTTCTGCTGGGTGAAGATGGTTCTTTAAGCCTGGTTGGTATGTATCACCATCTTGGATTACTGTTGCCGGACATCGTGTTGGTCCGCTTCTTTTGGAACACCTCCAAATCGTAGTTTTCTTCTCTGTCTAAAATATATTAAATTCATTTATTATTATAGAGTTAACTAGAGTTAATTATCTTTACATTTTGTAGCTGAAATACATTTCTATACAAGGTACTTAACTAGGTAAAATAAATCACCCTACCTTAATTGTATAACTAAACCCTTGGTTGTCAAACAACTTGGACTTGCCACGGGAGGTACCAGCTTCTACCTGCGTATACACTATAAACCTCAGAATGCCTCGTTCGGCATTTCTGTCCAAACGAGGCAAAAACGTGTCAAAATTTTTGCCCCGATTTTGCCTCGTTGTAACGAGGTAAAAAAAATACCTCGTTTCTCTGGAGTTCCAAAACGTGTTTTTTTTTAATTGCCCTGTTTTTGGAACGAGGTATTTTGTTCAGAACGAGGCTGGGTAAAATTGCCTCGTTTACTAAACGAGGTATTTTATCCAAGATAATTATTAGCGGTATTTGCTGTCAACAAATAGAGCCATACAAATAATGTTCGGACCATCATGTGACCAATTGCAGATCTACAAATTAGATTATTTATTTGGGACATGATATTGTTCATAGTTATGGCTTACTACACTGGAGTTCTATTGTGTAATAAACGCTTTCCAAGCGAAACAAAACATAACAATGTCACGTGACAATATTACATACGGCGGATACAAGCGCTCTTTGATTACATGCTGTTTGGTTTGATTATTAAATAATACGGTAATCTGTATTTATGGGAAAAGGAGAATGAATTTCCCCAAATCCAAAACTAGATGACTGGAATATTTATTGAATGGAAAGTGAATATTTTATAAACAAAAATATTCGAATTTGCAGTTTTCTAGCTTAGGTGGATTTGTGATTTGAATCTAGAACTCAGTGTTTTATACATTTTATTATAAAATTGTAATAAATGTTTTACATGAATGAATAAACTCTACAATTTAAAAAAATACAATAACATTGTGATTTGACGCTTTACAAATCACTAAAAGTATAACAATTGCTTGTTGAAAAGGCGTTACTAATATGTTTTTTTTCCCAATGAAGCGAAACCTACTTTGAAATATATTCAAAAAGAGTGCGTCCTTTACAGATTTCAATATAACCACAAATGGTTGATTGTTTTAATGCTTAAATAAGTATGGGCATATGCCATACAATGTGCTATGAGGGAAATTTTGCCCAGGCAGCGGAACTATTGCCTATTGTTATACATGTATCGACTTTCAACAGCCAAGGGACACACGGACCTTGGGGTTTTTTTTGTCCCATCTGAATAACTAGACATCTGTTTTTCTCAGGCCCACTACGGTCAGACTGATTTAGGAACGTAAAGTTATCAGTCTGGAACGGATCGTAATCGTGCGGTATTCACTAAGGTCATACTGATATTTAGGAACGTAAAGAAGACCATTTTACTAACCGTCTCCATTTTAAGAAAGAGCAGATATAAATATATGATTATATCGACAGAATCTCCACACGAATCTTTAATTTAGTAGAAGAAGAGCAAGTTGATCATTGTCGCCATATTTGACCTATTTCTCTATTGGTTGTATATGCATTAAGGCGTGGATCTAACCAACCCGAGTAGCTCATTATTGAGCCGAGAGATTTATGAAATGAAATTGGGGTTTAATGACCCGCATTCCTTCACTATTCAGGCTAATGAACACGAGGCGTTCAAGCCAGCTCTTTATTCACAGAGCCGCCTGGCTCCCCTGAGAGACTTTCACTGACAACTAGTCATTGTCGAGACTAATGATTTTTATCGCCGCTGTTGATCAATATATATATTAAATAATAGCCCGAATTTAAGTATACCAAAAGTTAAGGAAATATAACCAGTTTTTGAGCCATTCAGATATGACTGCCAAAATTGTAATCAGCGCGCATGTTTTTTTAGGCTAAAGTCTAACCATAAAACTTAGTGTCCATACATAATAAACATTTTATTCCATTAATCAATTCCATTCCGCCATTGGTTTGTCTTAAACTCGTCATTTGTGTTCATGGGCATCAGGGTCGAGATGGCAACGTTATATGTTTTATTCGTCTAATTTACTATAAAACATCATTCGGTTTGCCTCACGGGTTAACGGCATATTAATAGCTTTATTCACTGAGATGGTTCCTTTACTTATAGTTTATTTTTCGAATTGCTTTTTGTATTTATTTAAATGGAAATATTTAGCACCTTCTTGTTAAACCGTTGAAAGATTTAAAGTTTGGATTAATGTTAAGAGAGTGTGGGTCAAAGATGCCGCTGGCAGAGTGTGTATAGGGTGTTAAAGTTTAAAAGTTATTCCCTACAAGGTGGTTCTACGGTTCTTACCATAGAATTCAGCTGTGAAATAACACAGTTTCTTTCATTATGTGTACAACAATAAAACTAGTTCAATTGCAAGTTGTCTCAACCACGGTGCTGTGATGTATGCATCTAAATGTTTCGACGACCCACCAATCAGTAGTTGCATGATGATTAAATTTATCGGACATGGAATGTGAAAATGCTTTGGAACTTTCAACTGTAACACGTTGCAATAATTACTCAATATAAGCCAAAAGGATCCGCCTTGTTCATTTATAGTCCGGCCCTGTCTTCAGTATTAAAATATAAAATTGAACACAAAGTATATTTAGTAATCCGTATTGTAGTAATGGCAATCACGGCTTGTGTTTTTTTGTTTTGTTTTTTGTTGTTTGTTTTTTTTTGCAAAATATAAAATAACTACGATGTCGTTTAACACTCACAATAACATATTTGGTTACCGGCCATTCAGCCATTCAGGTCGTATACATGTGTCAAGTATACAGTCATATATACAAACGCCTAACTATAGAAGCCTACCATTCTTAATTTCTACTTTTCGCCCTCCAAAACACGAAAGTCGAAAGGTAGCAGTTACGACAAAATGTGAGGCGACAGCAACGCTATACAAGCCAAAATCGACTCGAAAATAGGAAATCAAGAAATAATACACTGCGATAATAGCGCCCCTCGTTTTTTTTCCTAATTTCTTATTTTCGACTTGCATTTTGGCTTGTATACCGTCTTGTTGACTTTCGACTTGGTCATATTTTTGTATTTATTGATGTCAGTAAGATGTTACTATGGAGAACGTAAATTTCAGATTATACATTCCAGACTTCGTAATTGTAAAAGTGCTCTAAACTTCCATAGATTTTTAATGCATATTTCACATAACCCGACATGCAGTTGTGGTCATACTCAAGAAGACAGCGACCATTATTTTCTGCACTGCCCAAATTATTCGTCTCAGCGTATCTCAACATTAAATACCCTCCCATTTAAATCCATAAATACAAAAGCGTTCCTATATGGCGATACCAACGAAAGTAACCCGTTCAACAAAGTGAGTTTTAGTAAAGTTCACAAGTATTTAAAACTAAACAAGCGCTTTGAATAGATAAGGTAATTGTCAGGCGACGATGATTGGTGTTAAATAGTGATGATGACGATGATGATGACGATGATGATGACCATGAAGATGATTTATTTATATATTTATTTATATACTAGAAGAATGCCCGGCTTCGCTCGGGGGTCATAACTCCGAAACCGGAAGTGGTAGACTAACGCCACCTGGCCTATGTTACTCCCCGGTCCGAGCTACCCCTATACCCCAAATTTCAGACTCGGAAATGACAACGTGAATGATGGATCAGTCGAACGACAGAGTGAATGACAGGAGTTTTCCAGTCGAATAATAAAGATAATGGCAACTCTGGTCATAGCATATCTGTTTATAATATATTTCATATAAATGTTTATACACCTATTTGAAAAATACATTTAGGTCTACGTGTAATGTTGAATGTATAAATTCGGAAATGTTTTGATCTCTTGAACTGTATTATTTAAAATACACGATTAACGTATTAAATTGTAAATAATGAATTAAAGCCAAGACATGTATTAAATGTTTTAAATGTTTTATTGAATTGGAATAGAAACTGAAAACAGATTAACACCCTGTGTGAGATATTTCATTCAAATATTGTGAAAGGGTTGGTAATAAAATTAAAATTGTCATTGTGTCATTTTAATAACATTGAATCGTCCTATTCTGTTACGTAGTCGTCTCAACATATTGTTGTCATGGGTTACTTCTGCTAAACAACTCAATAGAAACTAGAACTGCGATGCAGTAATGACGGGTTTCACCGGTGCCACGTTACCCTAAACATATGTCACTTCCGGTACCAATGAAACCATTAAACAGGTTTCCACCTCATCATTGCACACATTAAATAAAATGGACGCCGAATCAACCAAATCCAGCAATATCAATTCATTTTATATATTTGTTACATGTAAGTGTACAGTACTTCCGGTGATAATGAAAATATTCAATTAGTTTTATGAAATCAGAAATGGCATAAGGCATCACATGGTGAAAATTTTATGTAAATCGAATAATAATTGCCACTTTTATAGACCAAAAACCTTAAAAAGTGACTTGTAGAAAATCGTCAATTCCTCTGCAACCATACAAGTTAGAAACCATTTTCTGGAATCTGTATGATCGTATGGGTTTATTCTATTTGTTGATTGGATTCAATAACATAATTTTAAAACATAACAACTCAGACTCATTTGAATAAAATATCTGTTTTGAAAGCTAAAAATACAGTTTTTGCCAAAATGACGTTACTTCCGGTGATAATGAAAATCTTAAATTACTTGTATGAAATCGTAAATGGCATTAGGTATCACATAGTGAAAATTTCATGAAAATCGAATAATAATTGACACTTTTATGGACAAAAAACCTTGAAAAGTGACCTGTTGAAAATTACCTATTTCTCTACAACTGAACAAGTTAGAAACCATTTTGTGAAATCGTAAATGGCATTAGGTATCACATAGTGAAAATTTCATGAAAATCGAATAATAATTGACACTTTTATGGACAAAAAACCTTGAAAAGTGACCTGTTGAAAATTACCTATTTCTCTACAACTGAACAAGTTAGAAACCATTTTGTGATACCTATATGATCGTATGGGTTCATTCTATTAGTTGATTAGAACCAAATATCAAAATATTAAACAAACAACAAATACGACTCATTTCAATAAATTATTTGTTTCTAAGGCTATAAATACAGTTTTTACCCAAATTTCGTCATTTCCGGTGACATGGAAAATGTTAAATTGAGTTGAACTAGTCACAATTGACATTATGCATCAAATGGTGTCACTTTTATGAAAATCCAATAATAATTGACTCTTTTACAGACACAATAGCGTAAAGAGTGACTCATGCAAAATTGACCATTTCTCGGCAACTGCTCATATTACAAACTAATTTTGAGATAGATTCTCTTCGTATGGATTAATGCTACAAGTTTATGAAAGTTGCAAAGAAATATTTTAAAATATGAAAAGCCTGAATGGGTTGTAAATAGCTCATTTTTTCACCTTTTTCACCTTTAAATCAAAATGACCCGAAAACGAAATCGAAATTAAAAAAACTGAGCCCGATGTTTTCTGCGCCTTTACAGGGCACACACTTTCAGTCATACCAGATTTGAAAAAAATAATATTTGCTTTCAAAAAGTGGTACCGAAC